TGACCCGCTTGGCCACCGACATTGCGGCCACTCTGCGGGGCTGGGTGCAGCCGATCATGCCGTAGTCAGTGTAGCCATCCTCGTGCAGGTACTGTGTCAGCTGAGTCGTCTTCCCACTCCCCGTCTCCCCTACCACAATCACAATGCTGTTGTCTCTGAGGAAAGAGAAAAAGTATTTCTTCGTACACCACAAAGAAAAGTTTTTGTGTTCGCCAGTCAAGTGTCATCCTGCTCAGGCAGGAGCTGCCATCACCCACGGACAGCAGTGCGGTTTGTTCCCCAAGAATACAGTTTCCAAACAGCCACGAGTCTAGGAGAATTCCTCACTTGGGTTCCCAAATGTAGGCCAATGTCCTGGGGACGCCCTGGCAGCCATACCTGAGGATGGAGAGCAGTTCCTGCTGCACAGCAAAGATAGGCAGGTATTGTCTCTGCTCCAGGATTGATTTCTTCTTGGCAAACTCACTGCTGGCTTCACTTTTCTCTTTCATGTGTTCAGCAAACTTCTGCTCAGTCCTAAGGACACATCACAAGTCCTGAAGCTGCTTCTCCACACACTCTGCTATACCCACAGCCCCCATCACCAGCTGAACACAGTAATTCAGAGCAAGTCCCTACTTGTAATCCACTTTGCCATCTTCCGTCACCATCTCATCCTTCTCCTCCTCTTTCTTGATCCCCATAATGTCTCCCAATTTAGTGCCTGCCAGCTCCCAGTGCTTGTGCTGTGCCTGGAAAGATAGAGAGCAGCATAACTTTACCACAAGAAGCACAGACAATCCTAGTTATAAGCCTAGGTCCCACAATTTCCCAATGCAGAATGCACATCCCACTCTTCATCAGGTCTCCCTCTTCCAAATGAATTGGAGCAGAGTTTTAAGACACTGCTATGGATACAGGCACAGGATGAGTAACCGCCTCCTAAGAAAATAGTACACCATACTGCTACCATACTGCCTGCTGACTGTCCCTAAGCTGACTGGCATTCTTCCATCTGCTTTCTTCTTCCACAATTCAAATGTCCTTTGGATCAGCCTCCTCTGCACAAGTGCACAGTGATTCATGTCCCAGGCAGTGCCCAAGGCAATCACAGCACAGTAGCTGCTATGAGGCAATGCAGTGAGCTGGGCTGCCAAGATGTCCCAAGTTACAAAAATATGAACTCCTTATCATCACTGCTGCCAAAGCCCGAATTCTGCAGAGTCCAAACAAGACTGTGAGGCACTACCTAACATGTACAGTGGGCAGTAAGCCAAAAGGTCACAGCATACCCTCTTACGCTCCTTCTGCTCCCTGTGCTTGCGCACCAGCTGGCTGCCTTTCCGGGCTATGATGGCCAAATCCGAGGTGGCATCCTTCACAGGGATGACTGGCTCTGGCTGGAGGGAGGAGGCATTGCTTCAGTACAAAGGGCTCACACGTGCAGCCATCAGCACCTTCAGCTGCAGCCTCTACCTGCTTGGTGAAGACAATCCTTCCATCCAGGAAAGGAGGTACGAGGTTGTGCACCAACAAGTGAACTTTAGCGGAGTTATCCTCTTCAAAATCTTCATCCACTTCAATCCGATGAACCACACCACTGGTCAGCATGCGATTCGTCTCCCAGCGCTCGTTATCCTGCAAGAAACAACATACCATAAACACACAGAAGACTCACAGAAAGTCCCAGAGATCACACCAGAACACTGAGCTCGGGCCTGGGCGCCACACTGGCAACAGGATGGAACTGATGGTTCCAACCTAGGGAGCCTGAAAGTAGGCATGAGGGAAGAAACAATAACTGGAAGTAGAGTACAAGAAACAGACTGGCCACGCGAGCCACGTGGTCAACAGGACTGCCTCCAAGGAAATGCAGGACAGACACTGCCCACAAGGCCCCCATACCACTCAGAATACGCGAAGAAGCCTGGACATAGTCCCGCTCGTGTGCTGAGGGCAGCTGCCCCCAGCATCCACTGGGCCAATAGTGGACAATACTAGTAAATGTACCTCACACCCATAACAACAGGAGCACAGCCCTTTGCACTCCTGCTGCCTTGGAACTGCAATCCACCAACCACTTGAACTGCAAATTCTGCCCACACAAGAGATGCAGAGCTGGAATTTCCAGAGGGACACAATCACAGTTTCCCTGTGAGCCCTCCCTCAGCTTGGGCCAGGACCAAGAGTGTCCTTCTCCACTTAACAGCAAGGGCTCAGCCCATGGTCTCCCAAGGGGCAGCCAACCCCACGTGTTCAGAGCAGCCAACCCCACATCTTGGCCCTACCTCATTGATCTGCCGCCGCTGTGCTGAGATCCGCTTCTGCCTCTGCTTGTGTAAGTGCTGCTCGCGCTTCTTCACGTACTCCTCAGAGGAGTAGGCCAAGGGGTTGTGAAACTCATCATAGCCCTCATCCATCATGTACCAGTCCCGGTCAGCTTGCTGGGAAGGGAGAGGTGCAGCACTCAGCTCTGCCCGTCCCCACAGCCCGGCGGCCCCAAGCCCCTCGCCTGCCCTTGGCTCTCACCCGCTGGTCATCCTCCCACTGCTGCCGCTCCTCCTCTGTCTCAAAGGCGATGCCCTCCTCGCCGTCTGCGCGCCGCCCTGCAGGTGTGCCAGTTGGTCCAGAACGCTCCCAAGGAAACCCCACAGAGCTGACCCTGTGCCGCAGGGAAAGGGATTCCGCACTGCCCACCCTGGGCAGCCCAGCCCAGGCTCCTCACCTCTCCCTCGGGACAGCCGTGGTGTGGCTCCGAGGTGCTTCCTGTCGTCAGCCCACTCATTGTATTTGTACGACGGGGTGGGCAATGGCGTCTTGTCTGAGTACCTGCTCCTCACAGACCTGAAAACAGAGCAGGAGTGAGGAACTGGTGTCACAGCTCAGCGCTGCTCACAAGCACACTGTCCCCCTTCTGCAGCCCCACAGCTCACAGTCCTACCCCAGGCACTGGTACCTGTCCCGTTCCCGCCGGTCCGTGTCCCGCAGTGACGATGGCCGGTGGCTGCGCTCCGAGTCCCGATAGGAAGGCGTGGGTGAGGGAGATTCCCACTGTGAGCGACGGGTACTGCTGTAGCCACCATCATCTTCCTCCCAGCTGGAGCGAGATGGTGTGGCTGCATCTGGTAGAGGAGGTGGGGTTTGACACCTGATGTTCCAACAGCGGCCCCGAGCAACTGGAGCCACCTAACACCTTCTAGCAAGGAGCAGGGAGAGAGAGTATTCATTTTCCCTCCCTCTAAGGGCAGGGGCTGACCCAGTGATTCCAAGGAATTGCCAAAGGGCCACATTTTCATCACACAGACCCAGAACAGACCCCACTCGGCAGAGATCTGCCTGATTTTCACACATCTCTGTCCTTACACAACCAGCAGGAAGCAAAAAAAAAAACCAAACCCCTCCCTGTTAAGTCTCACACAAGAGCTCTACCGGGTCCCACTCCCACCTTTGGGCCGATGTCGGGGGCTCTCAGGTTCACTCCTCCTGCTGCTCCGTTCTGACGAGCCATCCCTTTCCGATCTGCTGCTGTGACGACTCCTGTCCCGCTCCTCTGTGAAAACAAAGTAGGATCAGGTGCCTATTACACAAACAAGCTTCCCAAGTCTGCTGGAGAAATCACCACAAACGTTAGCTAAGAACTACAAACAGGCGGCAGGACAAGCCCAGACCCAAACCAAGAAGCACCACAAAGGTCTCTGAGCAGTTACCACGGTCCCGTTTACGATCGTGGTCCCGCTCCCTGCTGCGTTCCTTCTTCCGTTCCTTCTCCTCCTTGGAGGAGGCAAAGACTCCGTGTTCCCGACGCTCTCTCTCCCGCTGCCGGCTGCGTTCCCAAAACTCCTCGCTGACACCCCCTGTGTATGAAGGTGTCTCCACGTGGACGGAGCGGTAATGCCTGGGCAGGCAGAGCAGAAAGAAGAAACCCTCAGGAGTGCTGAGCAGTAGCTGCCTTTCAGCTGGTCTCGTACGGCTCCAGTTTCAAGCTCTGTCATAGTGGCCCGCAGTCCCCCTCAGGCCTCCGTCTCTGCCACGCCGGAGGCCGCAGCCCCGTGACACCGCCTGTGCTCGCCCCCCGCTCCCTTCCCGGCCGGGAGCGACCTCCGCGGGCATCAGGAAACCCCCGCAGACCCCACCTGTTCCTGCGAGCTTTGCGGCTGCTCCGGTCGTCTTCATCCTCTTCCTCGTCCTCCTCCTCGGCGCTGCCCGCCTCGTCACGACCCTCTTCCCAGTCTTTGTAGGATGCGACCCGGGATCGCTTCCCTCCGGCCTCCTCCTCCTGGCGCTCTCGCCGCTTCTGCGCCGCCAGCACGTCCAGGCCCAGCAGGGAGGTGCGCGGGGCCGGCGCCTTGAAGATGTGCTGTTCGGCGCCCTGCGCCCGCAGCACCAGCCCGCCCGCCTCGCCGTCCGGGCTCGTCCCCGACAGCCGGTGCAGCGACTCCTCGCTCGCCGCGGCCATCGCGGCCGCAGCGCCGCCCGGGCCCCGCCGCCGGCACCGCCCGCAGCTTCCTCAGCGACCGTAACCCAGCTCCCCGAGCGCCGCCATGGCCGCCCCACAGTGCTCCGCGGGAGGAGCCGCTCTAGCCACACGCACCATAGACACAGCGGCCAGGGCCTATGGGAGCGCCGCCACCGCAGGGTGAAAACACCGCTGGGCAAGACGCGCTACCGCTCCTGGCGGACTTCCGGCGTGGGGAACGCCCGCGGGGTCACGTGGCCGCCGAGGCAGCGGGGAGTTACGGACGGGCGGGACCGGCGGCGGCAGCCCGGGGACAGAGAATCCCCCACGGGGACAGAGAGTCCCCCATGGACACTCACACACCGCGGAAGGCGGCGAGAACCCCCCAGAGCTCCGGGCAGTCCCTGCAGCCCCGAGCCTTCCAGCCAACCGCCGGCGAAGGCTTCCAGGGACCCACGGGGATGTGGTGGGGCGAGAGGAGGCACATGCTCGCCCCTGCGCAGACAGGCCCATGTGCTGCACAAACACAGAGCCTGCGGACAGACAGACACACACACACACAGTCTGCACAGAGACACAGCCTGCAGCCCGAGACAGGACAGTTTTATTCCCCCACGGCCCCTCAGCTGGCTGTAACTGTCTCCTTCACCCAGGCCAAGACGCGCTGCACGTCCACGTACACACTGTACTTGGTGGCCGTGCAGGTCTTGTCATAGCTGAGGATGCCAGCTGCGTACCAGGTGTCGTCATCAGGGTCCTGCACAGCAAAGGCCCCACCAGCATCCCCATAGCAGGTGTCCTCCCGCAGCTCACTCATGCCCACGCAGAAGGTATCGTTGCTGAGGATGGGCTGCACCCAGTAGGATGCATTCCGTGCCCCGTAGTACTCCTGGCACTGCTTTTCCTCAGCCACTGGGAGCATCACGTACTTCAGCATGTCAGAGAAGGCGAAGGTGGCACCACGGCCCCAGCCTGAGACATAGCCCACCCGCCCTGGCTGCACGTAGTCTTTCTGGGGCAGGCAGATGGGCATCACTTCCTCTCCAACAAGCACCTTCTGTTTGAGCTTCAGCAGGGCCAGGTCCACAGCCTGTGGGTAGCCGGGGTGCAGCACGATGCGCTCGATGCCCAAGGCGGGCTGCTCCCGGCTGCCCAGGAACAGCTGCAGCGTAGGGGCAATCTCCTCTGGATTGGTGTTCTCGCTGTGGTTCAGGTACACGTTCCTGCCAGTGGTTAGCAGCCACTGATCACTGATAAGTGTGGCCCCCACAGTGAGGTTGTGGCGGGTCACCATCCGGGCCTGCCAAGGGAAGCTGCCCTTCTGAGCCAACAGACCCCCAATGATGCGCTGCATCTGCCTGGGGGGGTTCTTCGGCTTCCCACACACTGCATAGGACAGAGCAGGGCCCAGGTTGAGCCCTCTCAGCCCAGTGGTGCTCAGCAGCCCCTACAGCCCTTTGGCTGCACAGACTGCTCATGACCCCACAGCTGCCCTGCTTTTCACAGCCCCAGCCCCTGTGACTCTGCTCTCACCTGGCTCGCAGACAGGCACCTCCTTACCAGCTCCAGGACTCACCCACACCTGATTCCCATCACATTTGTATGTCCCTTTGGAGAGAAACCAGAGTCAACATCCCTGCCCTGCAGCCAGGGAGGCACAGAGGTGCTTGTACCTCCCTGGGGCTTGGGTGAGCAGATGTAGCTACTCATACCCCCGAGGAAGTGGGGTAGGGGGCTGCATCCCTGGCATTGGGGCAGCCCCTTGCATCCCCTGGAGCTGGGGATGTGCCTCACCATCATCGGAGCCGCGCAGCCGGTAGTATGGGTCGCAGCGGTACCTGACCACCAGGTGCTCCACGTGGCCGTGTTCAATCTCCGCAGGCTTTGCACAGCTCCAGTCTGCAGGCAGACAATGCTCAGCTGGCCCAGAGCACCAAGCCCAGGACATGCTCCCACCTCCATTGGGTCCCTCCCTAGTTCCATCTTCCCTGACCCTGCCTGCTCCCTGCCAAGTCCCCTCCCCTTCATCTGAACCCCAGTGCTCCCTGCCTGCCCTGGAAGGTACCGGTGGCAGCTGCAGTCCCCAGCACGCTCCAGGCCAGGCCAGCGATCAGCAGCTCTGCAGGTCTGCAGGGAGAAGAGGGCAGCATCAGCAGAGAGCTCCCAGAAAGCTGCCCTGCTCCCAGCTGTGGGCTCCACCAGGATCCTGTCTGGGCTCCTGTCCTGTCCCAGGAGGGCCCTCGGGGCTGCCCATCAGACAGCCAAGAGCCAGACCTGGACCCTGCTGCTGCAGAGGGCAAGGCTGCAGTGTTGGGACCTGGGGTGCTTCCAGGCCCAATATGGGTTCTGCCATGGCCCTCAGCAGGGCCAGGTCCTCAGCCAGGCCCTCAGCCAGGCAAGCAGGACAGACAGAGCACTGAGCACATGGAGGGACATGTCAGTGTTGCTTACCCCATGCTGGCAGCTCCCTGCTCACAGCAGCCTCCTCCTGCAGGTCACTGCTGCTCGGGGCTCCCTCCTCACCCCTTTTATTGTCACCTCCCTCCCCCTGGTGCAGCCCAAGAGCTCCAGACCTCCTGACCCTGCTGCCTGCAGCCAGCACCTTTCCCAGCAGGAGGAGCACAAAAAGCCCCACCTGGCTCTCTGCCGGCTTGGCAGAGGCTCACGGGAAGCTGCCAAGCCCCCACAGGAAGCCAATGTGCCAAGAGTTTCCCGGATTTTGTAGCTACAAATATGGGGGGGGCTGGCTGCAGACTAGTGCCCTGGCACTGTGACACCAGCTGAGGCTCACAGAGAGCAGACCAGCCCCTGCCCTTGGCAAACCTGCCCTGTGCCCACACCTACCACAGTCCCTGCAGGGCACAGGTGACCGCCCCAGTGCTGGCAGGAGAAGCTGGGTCCCAGGAGCCAGGTCCCATCCCATCCTGTGCCTGGCTTTGCTCACAGTCAGGGCACACCCACCCAGAGCTGGGGTACCAGTGCCCTGGGCAGTGCCACCCTGCTGGCCAAGGGGAGCAGCATGTCCCACACTAGGGACAGGTTCTGAGGGACTGCAGCCAATCCGGCTTCCAACCAGTACCCACCCTTTCCCAAGCAGTGGGGCCACAGCCCTGTGTCCTGGCAGCCCCTGGCCCCAGGGGTGGAGGTTGTTTGTCAGCAGCATCGAGGGCTCAACCTAGGCTTACGGGAACTCACAGCAGCAACTGCTGGCCAGTGCCCAGCTGGATGTGGCTGGGCAGCAGCGGTGCAGGGCAGAGCACATCAGCCTATTCCCACGAGCAGTCTGCCTCCAGCAGGAGTACAGCTGAGGGGCAGCAGGAGAGGAGGGAGCCAGTGCTGCAGGGAAGCCACCCCAAAACCATTCATAGCATGTGGTGCTAGCCCCAGCCCTGAGCCACTGAAGCTTGGCCTGCCAGGGTCTTGCCAGTGCCCCCCTGCCCCTTGGATGCTCCAGCTCTTCGGGCTCAGGAGGGACATCTGTGGCTGGTCCCAGACCCCCCAGGTGGCTTTCCCATCCTCTGTGAGCTTCTTCCCATCTCATGGGGCATTTGTGTCCCCAAACAATGCAGAGCTTGACATCCCTGATCCAGCAGCAGCCATACTTGTACCACCACACAGAAGGCTTGAGTCCAGCACCAAATGCATCAGGGCTTGGCAACTCTGATCCGTCAACAGCACCAGTACCTTAGGAAGGTGCTGTGTCACCCTCAGCCTGAAAGAGCAAGAGTCTCCCAGGCACTCTCCAAAGCACATCAACACCTTGGCCGACAGATCAGGTGAATTCCCTGTTAGAGCAGCGATAGGTGTCACCTGCCCACAGCAGAGAATCTGGGACATGAAGAGGCTGGTGCAGGGGGCTGCAGAAGGGGGAGGCAGGTGGGTGATGACCCTGACATGAGCTGAGTGCCACTCGGAGCAGGGGCAGGAGTTGTAAACAACTTTGGGGAAGTGCTGTGGCGCAATCCTGCTCTGCAGGGTGGACTGCGAAAGGCTGCCAAAGCAAATGCTGTGTCCAGGGCAAGCTCTTGTTCAAGCAAAGCCCAAGGTAACTGCAGGAAGTTCAGGGCGAAGGAACAGTCAGTGCTGGAGGCTCCAGAAACAAAACCAACAGGCAGAAGCACTACCAATCAGACCTTTTCCACAACAATAACAGGGCATAACCGCAGCCATCTCCAAACAGCTGTGTACTGGCAGCAAAGGGAAGAACTGGCACCCAGCAACCCCAAGTGCCTGGCCTCGGGCAGAGATCTCTATGAGGGGAGCCCTGGTGCACTTCTGTCGGTTCATCCCAGAGCTCAGCTACCCTGCAGCTTCTCCCACCAGAAAAGTGGGAGCAACATAGAGAGCCGATCCTGCTTGGCTCAGGAGATCTGGGCTGTGTCCCTCCAGCCCATGAGGTATCCCCGGAGCAGCATACACGACTAGGTGAGCCAAATGTTTATTGATACTTGGGCTGGGTTTGGCTGCCCACAGGAAAGCCAAAACACAGCCCTGGGCAGTGGCACTGGTGTGGAGGTCCCCTCCCCTGCTCCCCACTAATGCAGCCCCTGCTTCACCCATCAGAGGCTCTTCTCAGGGCCTGGGACCAAGACCTTGGCTTGGTCCCAGCCTGCCCAGCACTGGAATTATCAGACTCATTCCTGCTCAGCCATGGCTCTCCTGGCTAGACCTTGGTTCTGCAGCATGTCAGCACCGGTGATCTGCTCCAACCGCCTCCATGACGTTCTTGAAGCCCTGCTCCCTAACCAGGGACAGTGCGAGATGGCAGGGCCAGCCTGGCACTGCAGCTCACCCTGGTGGTGCACTGCTTGGGCACCAGCACAAAGTTGTTCAGAGCCACCCTGGGCCCAGGGGCTCCCTGGGGAGGTGCCTGGAGCCCCCTCACCTCAGCAGCTCCTCCAGTTCCCGCTTCACTGCCCCCACCACCGGTGGCCCGTGGTACACAAGGGCTGTGTACAGCTGCACAAGGGAGGCTCCGGCACGGATCTTCTCCAGGGCATCCCGCCCGCTGCTCACCCCACCCACCCCGATGATGGGCACCCGGCCTGTGGGTAGGCACAGGGTCAGGAAGGCACAGGCAATGAAGGCATGCACCCCCCAAGCCCTGCTCTGCTCCCACCTTGGGTGAGGCAGTACATCTCCCTGATGGTCTGTGTGGAGAGCTCCCGCAGGGGCTTCCCGCTGAGGCCCCCGGGCTCCATGCGCTGCCTGCTCCGGAGGCTGCTGGGGCGGCTCACGGTGGTGTTGCTGACAATCAGCCCATCCACACCTAGCTGAGGGGGTCAGCAGCATGAGGACACAGCAGCAACAAGCAGCTCCCCCCCATCCCATCCCATCCCATTCCTGGGATGCCAGGTCAGGGCTCCCCCAGCACATAACCCCAGAAACATGGCTGGGCACAAAGCAGCTGCCCCTCACTGCCTGGACTATCTGGGCCACCCAAGGTCTGGTTGACACACATAGGTCCTCACAGACTCCAAGCTACCCAGGATACCACCCCTATGGCAGCCAGGGAGCTGCAGGTGCACCTATCTTTCAGAGAGAAGACCTGTCAGGAGTGCCATGGTCCTGCCCCTGTGCTGTGTGAGGTGAGGCAGGAGGCACATCAGCCTCCCCTTCCCATCTCACCTCGCAGATAACGCTGGCAATGTCGCGCTTGTCCTGTGCAGTGAGATCAGGGGCGATCTTCACCAGCACGGCTGGCTTGTGCTCGCAGGGCAGCAGGTCCCTCTCCGCCAGCACCTGCAGGTGCACATGGCAATGCATGGCAGGGAGAAACCTCGTGCCCTGACCAGGAGCCACGGGCGCCAACCAGGACAGGGACAGGCCCTGCTCCTCTACATGGCATTCTTGACAGAGAGGCACCCTCAGTACAGGGCCTAGGGCACACGGCCAGCACAGGACCCCGAGGACACCCAAAGCCGTGGGGTGGGTGACTTGCTGCCTCTGGCAGGAACAGAGTGGATGGCGATACCTCACTGCTCCTGAGCCCTTTGCTGGGGTACAGTGCCCTGGTGCACCCCACGGCAGCAGCTGCTCAGGGGACATCTCAGCAATCCTGCCCGCCACTCCTGGGAGCCGCCCCACTTATCCCTGTGCCAGGGCAAACCCACTGGCTGGAGTGGAGCAGACACTGCCAGGGCACACGATGCATCCAGTGCTGCAGCTGCAGGTTGGGCTGGCTGGGGGAAGTGACCCACCTTTCTCAGCAGGTCCTGCAGCTCAGTCTTGCCCTGCAGGTCTCGCAGCCCTGGGGTGTTCGGGCTGGACACGTTCACAACCAGGTAGTCAGCCAAAGGGCCCAGTGTCCGGACCCCAGCCACATAGTCAGCTGCAGCGTCTATGGAGCTCTTGTTCTTGCCCAGGTTGATTCCAAGGGGCATCCCCGCTGGAACATAGACATGGCTAAACTAGGGCAGGACCAACCCCCACCCAAGGGCCAGAGCACCAAAAAGGGAGGCTCTAGGACCAGCTAAAATCAAGATGGGGATATGCAGCCCATGTATTTCATGGGAATGGGCCTGGCACTGTCCCACAGCCACAGGAGCATCACCACAGCTGCCCCACTCAGCACCTCCCAGCACCACAGCCTGGCAGAAGTTGCTGTCAGGATCTGCCCAGCTGGGGTCCTCTTAGCTTTGGCTTTAACATGTTCTGCCTAAAGCAGTATGTGCAGCTCAGTCCCAAAGAAAATGGCAGGAGAAAGGTGACTAATCACAATCCCAAGGGGAGAGGCTACAGCCCCAAGAGGGTCCTGCTGTTTGAGTGTACCTTGCTCTGGCCAAGGTGCTCCTGTGCCTGGACACTGGTGTTACACACCTTTTCTGGCCTACAGCTACCTGGGAGACCCCCAAACCCACCCTGCAGACCCCAAGGGCAAAGTCTTACAAGCTTGTCTCACCACCAGTGAGCCTGGTCTGCGTCTCCTGGCGGGCCCGCAGCCTATGCTCCACTGCAACGTGGCCATGGCTGTTGAATCCATACCTGCACCAGGACAGATGGTTCAGGGCTGGGCTAGTGTCCACAAACCCCAAACAGAACATGGGAGAAACAAGGCAGACACGTAGTCTCTGCAGCTCTGCTCAGCACATCCAACCCAAAAGCCACCACAGCACCAACCACGGAGCTGGGACCATCCAAATAACCCTGCACTGCCATGTGCACCCACAGGTGCTGGCACAGAGGGACTTGCTGCCCTGTGAGTGCAAGCCAGACATGGGGTAAAAATCACCCCTGACCTTCCCCAAATAACCACCCTCGAGGTGGGCAGACTGCAGGACACGGCTGAACACTGCCCTCAGATCCCACCTGTTGATGACCGCCTCGTCCTCTGCCAGCCGGAAGACCCTGGGCTTGGGGTTCCCTTCCTGGGGCTTGGGTGTGACGGTCCCCACTTCCACAAAGCCAAAGCCCATCTTGTACAGCCCGTCCACAGCCTCACCCTGCTTGTCAAAGCCAGCGGCCAGGCCCAGGGGGTTGCGGAATCGCTGCCCGAGGACTCGCACCTCCTGCGGGGACAGGTCTGGGTCAGAGCCCACCGACCGCAGAAACCACAGCCGGGGCCTCGCTCCAGACCCCTCCCGAACAACCCCAGCTGCTTCCCCTGACCTCCCTTCCTCTGCCCCATGGAGTGCCTGCCCGAGAGACCCTCGTCTTCCCCCGCGGACTGTGACAGGTTTCCACTGGCACCCGACCGACCGCCCCCCCGTCCACTCCGCCCTCCCGACTCCCTGCCCCAATCCCCGCCCCGCCCCACCCCCGATCTCTCCCCACCAGAGCCGCACCAGCGCGGGGCCGTCGGGACGGGCGGGGGGCAGCAGCCCGAGGGCAGCAGCGCGCAGAGCCAGGCCGTGGGCGGTCTCGGGGGGCAGCGCCCGGAGCGCGGGCATCACCGCCGCCGCGTAGAGCCGCTCGTCTCCTGCCGCCAGCGCCGAGCCCAGCAGCAGCCCGCAGCCTCCCAGTGCCAGCGCCCGCAGCCGCCCCTGCCCACAGCCGTCAGCGGTGCACCGGCACCGATCCCCTCTACCGGCACCAGCACCCCTCCATCCCGGTACCGATCCCCTTCCCATTCCCTACCGGCACCACCCCCCATCCATCCCGGCACCGATCCCCTCCCCATTCCCTACCGGCACCAGCACCCATCTCATCCTGGTACCGATCCCAACCCGGCACCCTCACCAACACCCATCCCATCCTGGTACCGGCACCGATCCCATTCCACCCCCCGCACTCATCCCACCCCGGTACCCATCCCATCCTGGTACCGGCACTCCCTTTCCCCCCATCCCAGGCCATACCCTCATATCCCGGCACTCCGGCCCCGGATCCCACTCCACCCGTCCCGTCCCGTCCCGCCCCGCCCCGCTCCAGCCCCAGCCGCCCCGTCCCCGCGAACGGCCCCGCCGGGCCGGTCCCGATCTGCCCCCGCTCACGCGCAGCGGCGCCGCCATGGGCTCAGCCCGCCACGTGCGAGCACTTCCGGGATCCCCCTCGGTGATTGGCGGAGCGGGGACCCTTCCACCCAATAGCGACGCAGAAGCAGCAGTTCAGAGCGGGGCCCCGCTGGGGGGCGCTCCCGGCCCCGCCCGCGCGGCGCACGCACAGGACGGATCCCGGGCCTCGCTTTATTGGAACCGACGGCGGGGCCGGAAGAGCCCGAGCCCCGCGGGAAGTGTCTACGACTTCACGGACAGGCACAGGACAGGGACCGTACAGGTGTGGCAGCATCACGGACAGGTCAAGTACAGCCCTACGAGGCCCCACCCCTGGCCCGGGGAAAAACAAGGTGCTGCCGCATATCCCATCAGATTCCCAAGAGCGCAGCAGAGCAGCTAGGGGAGCCCCTGGGCAGCAGAGCCTGCCTAGCTCTGGCAGCAGAGCCAGTCGTGCTCTCAAGTGGGCCCAGGCAGAACATGACGCCTTGGGAACAGATTCCCCCCCGAGAACACCATGAAGGCCAGCAAGGGCTCCCCAAGAGGGAGCCTCCTCTGGGAGCACAGAGCCATCATGAAGGCAGCCAGGAACAGTGCCCAGAACATCAGGCACAACTTTCCATACAGCTACTCAGACTGACAGGGGCCCAATCTTGCACAATTCCCTACAGTTCACCTCCTGGAGCAACAAAGATCAGCAAAGTGGCAGCATTTGGTGTAAGTATAGTAGGAAGAGAGCTCAAAAAGGAGAGCGTGTTCATTTGAGGTTAATACAGGAAACCAATTTCAAGGAGAGTCTTTTTCAGAGAGAAGCTCCTGCCTCTCCTTCCTGCAGCCCAGGGAGTTTTATGTCTTCTTCTTTAGCTCCTCAAATCTCCGAGAAAGATCATCAAAGTCAATGTCTTCTGAGGCGGAGGAGTTGGCGCCAGCAGATGCCGTTGGCAGCGTGTCTGGCACAGACGGTAATTCAGGCAGCACAAAGTTATCAAAGGTATTAGGAGCTCCAGCTCTTGGTTTAGGAGAAGCTTCTGGCTTGGGCTCAGGCCCTGTTTAAAAGAGAAGTATCATTGCATCTCACTGTCAGCACACGCTCACTGGGCCAAATGGAGCTGCATAAAGTAAAGCTCACCCCAGGAAATGGACAGCACCAGTGGGTTTTTCTGAACAGTCCCTAACACCCACGGTTTCCCAAACCCCTGGACATACTCACCAGGCACTGGTGCAGCAATGTCCTTGTCAGCATTCGGCTCATCAATCTGAAAAAGACTCTCAGTTACTACAGCTCTGTCCCACCAGGCACGGTCACTCCAGCGTGCGGGCAGAGCTAAGCGGCACAGTCCCAGCAGAGCAGTGCACATTCCTCCCTGCCCTGAGCAGGTAGCCCTGGCTTTGGAACAATCTGCCTCTCTTCCCAAGAAACAGAGGCAGCACTTCAGCTTTCTTCTCCCTCCCTTTCAATTAAAGCGGCTTCACTGACTATGTTCTGGAACTGAATCAACAGAGCATATCCACTATCAGGTCTGAAACATTCAAGAGCATGAGTGCAAAAAGACTGCTCTCTTCACCCATGTCATCACAGCTCTTCTGCCCTTCATAAACCACTGACAGGCCCTTGTGACTAGCAGCAGGATATGAAATTATGCATCTCAGGTTTTGGTCTAGCTGAGACAAAGGCCCACAGCACACCCAGCTGTGCTGTTAAAGCTCCTCATTCCCTGCAGGCTGCAGCCAGCAACATCCATCCCCACCCAGTTCACCTGCACTGCTGTGCCTGTGCCTGCCCCTCCCGAACTCAGGCTGTTGTGCAGGGAGCCCAAGGTTCAGCACAGCTCCTCCCTACTCTGGATAACACAAAACCAAGCACCATGTCACCAAAGGCAGAGTGGGGGAGGCATGACCATGAACTACAGCAACAAAACCACAAACAAGCAAAAAAAGGGAAGTCTCCAGCCTCTCTTTCATTGTTCCCCAAGGACTGAGTAAAGTCTGGGAAAGAAAGAGTGTTTAAACATACAGCATCTGGGGCAGCCAAAATTGTCATCCAGGCTATTAATTAGTTCAAAAGCCATAATTAAACAGACTCGAGGCGATAAACCCTTCACATTGCAAAGACCAGAATTTGTAGGCTCTGCTTCTGCTTGTTAACTGTTTATCACTACTTGAATGATGCAGCAAGAGAAATGTTGGCTTTCCTTTGCAGCCAAAGCACAGAGCTGAACAAGGAACTTCTCCCCACAAGTCATTCTCCCGTCACGCGCACTCAGTGATTCACCCGTAAGCAATGCCAGCACCACCCCGAAAGCTCCAAAGGTTGGCAGCAGTGTCCTTAATGAACACTTCCCTTCTCTGTGGCTACCACTCTCTTTGAGGGTCCCCCTGCTGCCTGCAATGGCCGTTCAGCTCAGGCACTTACAGACTCATATGTGGGTGGGTTTGCCGGAATTGGTGGTGGGTGGATGTTAGTGAAAGGCTGGTAGGTCCCCACTGGCAGGCCACTGAAGTTCTCCTGTACAGAGAAATCAGTCATGCACCACACTACTCACCTGGGATACCACACCTACAGCTGCTACAGGAGCCACAGGAAGTAGTCTTAGATAAATGCAGGCAAGTATCCAACTGGATTGAGTTTATGATACAAGTAAAAGATTCTCAAGTATTAAGTCAGTTGTAGTCGCCTGGTGCAGGCAGACCCAGCTAACAGGATTATTCTAAAGAATCAGCACAGGTAAACACTTCATCTTCCAAGGCATAAGCAGTACCAGGACAAAAAGGGAATACTCTGCCATTTTTTGCCCTGTGTGCAGTATCACAGAACAGGAAGGAGATTTCTGCCTCACACAAGGCTCTGTATTACACCCTCACTTGTAACACAACAATGCCTCAAGGACGCAGACTTGGCGCAAGTCCTCAGCACATTTATGCCTGGGCCAACAGCCAGCTGATGATACTTGGCCCAGGTTTTCCACAAAAACCACTGCAGCACTACTGGGACCACGTTAAGACTCCAAGCCATCCCACTATTCTGATACTCTCAGTCTACAGAGATATCCTGTAAATGACTGAATTTAGAGAATGGGGCTCTTTTCAGCTCCCACATTCCACCCTCACAGAAAGTCATCTGCAAGAGCCATTGGCTCAGTCTCCTTCCCTTGCAGGTCTGAAGGCAGGGCTCTTCTGCATTTTTCTGCGCTGTTCCCACCCCAAAAAACTCACCTGATTTCCTTGACTGAATCTTGGCACACTACCAGCCTACCAACTTCGAAGTGCAGCTCCAACTCCTGGACAAAAGCCTGGCAGTCAGAAGACTGCCTCAGGAGTTAAGTCTGGACTCCTCTGTTCCCTGAAGGCAAAGAGGGCTGGCTGGAGAAGAGGGGTAGGAACCTCCACAGTCAAGAAGCAACACGAAGCTTCAGCTGCACTGCCAACAGTCCCCATCCCATGTAACCTCACACCAAAACAACGGCCTTCTGACAAATCAAGCTATCAGGTACAGACACTTTCTAGTCAGCAGGCACAGGGCTAAGCACCACACTCAAGAGTCTTTCACAGAAAAAGGAAACACAAAGCCAAGAAACTTACCGGTCCCTTTGGAGGTGGATAGGAGAAGGGCGGATTTGGCGTTGGCATGGGCATAGGCATCATCACGGGCATGGGTACTAACCCATCATGACCCATCATCGGGGCTGTAAATCCACCACCTCCACCCCCTCCATGGCCACCCTTCTTCACATCATCCGTGAACCCCACATCAATTAGATCTGCTTCTCCACCTGCTGGGGCTTCAGCCTGGAAAGGGTGGAAGAATTCTGCTCACCACCACATCTCTGTTCCGATCACTGCCCTCTGAACAGCAGTAGATGCAGCCTTTGTCACTGGACAAGATGGGAATAAACAACGAGGACAGAACAGAGAGCAGCTATACAGTGGTATTAACAGAAAACAGAACAGGAACCAAGCAGTTGCATGAGTAACTACGGGCACATGCTGTAGGGCTGTGGGAAGGAACAAGGACCGTGCTGTGCTGGGGCTGTCTAGAAGACACCAAAGCACAACGATCACCAAGTTCACTACAATGCCACAGCCCACGGCTCACTCACCATCACCACAGAGTCAGGCTCATAGGGCACATTGTAGTTCTTAGCAATCTCGATGAGGTATCTCTCCACCAAGATCTTGGGCGGCGCCTCAACGCTCAGCTTGTGCATCAGCTGGAACACAGGGATGGAGAGACTCAGTGGGGCCAGGGCAGTGGAGCACCCCACAGCTCCGGCCCAGCACCATCCCAGCTCTATCCCAGCCAGGGCCACCGGGAAGCACTGGGCAGCCCCGGGGAAGCCTCTCTGCCCAGTGCAGCACACTGTGGGCAGCAACAGGCCAGGGCTCCATGTGCTCCCCCCTGCCCAGGCTCTCAGCACCGTGCTCCAACACAGGTGGGCTCCATCTGCCCGCCCTGCTCTGCAGGGACTGTGGGCATCACCCACTGGCCGCAGGCCCAAGGGGCAATGAGCCTCAGCAGGCGTGGCTGCTCTGCCAGCTCCAGCTGTTCTACCAGTTCATTACCCTGTCATTGACTGTCCCAATCTGGTTTGTCCGGCACAGCTTCCCGTACTCCTTGCTGTACTTGGCGCACAGCTGGTCAGCAACCTGCAATAGGAGAGAAACTCTAGGAAGATGCATAACTTTGCTTTCCCCCACCACACACTGCACACCTGCTGTAGGCCCCACCCCCCTCCCTCTCATTTCTGCCACTGAGCATCCCTGTTCAGCAGCCACAGCCACCCTGGATGCTCCAGGGACACCTGGTCTCCATCTGCAGAGCCCATGAAAACACATCCTCTGTTTTAACGACACAAAGTCCCAAACAAGGGCTTCCACCAGCTTCTGGCAGCATCATCCCCACCCTGCGTGCACAACACCCTCAAAGAACTCTACTCACAATCTTCAGCTCGGCCACTTCTGACTGGAGACGTGGTGCAGCCCAAATTAGGGTCGATACCGCCTCTGCCAGGCCAGAGTCCAGCTCCCTAGGACACAATAAACAGTTCTCTCATGCACCCTGCCTTTGCTGCTCTCAATCTGCTCAGCCTCAAAGCTCCCATCCTCCACATTGGGCACCAGAGTCTTCCCTGCCTGGGGAAGAAAAGGTCTCTGGGGGCCTTAGGACACTGAGACAAACACAGGTGCCCTTCTGTACCCCAGACCTGCCCCAGCAGTGTCCCTCCCTGAGCCCAGGACCCTCTCAGCCAGAGCTTACTTCATGGACTGGATCAAGCCAAAGCGGGCAAGCAGCAGATCACAGTACAGCTCCAGGATCTCCATGGCCTCCACAAGGTAATCTTCACGGATGATGTGCTCCACACGAATCCTGGCACGCTCATCTTTTCCAGCTGCCAGGTAATCTGCAATCTCCTTCCTTGCCTTCTGGGCCAACTCAGCTGCAGCACACATCCCCGAGCATGGTCACCGTGCTGCCTGGGGCTGCTGCCTCCAGACCCCTCACAGTCCCCACCACACCCAAAGCCACCACCAGCTTCTCTCCCCCACTGAGCTTCTGCAGCACGAGACACTTGGCCAGAGCTTGGCAGAGCCCTTGTGTCCAGGTCCAAGTACACTAACTCACAGGAGACAGGAGAGTGGGCTTTAGCTGCTGGAAACACTCCTGCACCTACAACCTCCCTGCAGAGTCAATCGGGACCACAGACCTTATCTGCATCAGGGCAGGGCAGGGCAAGTGGGGAGAGCCTCCCACAGCACGCAGGGAGTTTCCCAATGTGCTGTGAGCACACACAGCCCACAGCTACCACTCCACACATTGCACTCCAGCACTTGCCAGGAAGATGGAGAGAAGCCAACCCCAGCCAGTCTGCTCCTCTGGGCCCTCACGCACTGGGACAGGCTGTAAGGCCCAGGTCCAGCTGGGAAGAGCAGAATACTGAATACTTGGCCCACAAAAGCATCCTGACTTCAGAAAAACCTCTTTAAGTCTCCTGAGCCCCAAAAGTATGGTGGAGCCCACCTGCCCCCTCCAGTACTTACTCTTCTTTTTCTCCAGCAGTTTGAGGCGATTGATAACAAGGCGCAGGTTGACTCGCAAGCGCTCGGCCTTGAACCCAGAGCCCAGCATCATAAACACCTTCTGGGGAGAAGAGGGAGGGTCACTGGAACCGGGGAGGCCAAGAAATTCCCCCAAAAGCCCAGGCCTGCCATTCCCGAATCTAGTTATTTATAAATAGCTGGACCTCCAGAGCTCATCATTACCTCTTCCACTTCACAACCCTGCACCCAACCAAGCCCAACAGGTTTGGCCTTGGAAACTTCCAGGAAACTTCCTGGATACTTTTAAAGAAACAGGAAAGTCAATTGGAAGAAAAAAGCCCATCTCTGTCGTACCAATACGCAAGTTATAAACCAGCTAGATAACTAACCCAAGAACTGTAGAAACTAAGATTTTAAGAGTCGTGTCGGGAGAAGGAAAAGCTGCCATTCCACATTCCCCACGCTCTTCCTGCTTACTGAACACACGCTCTGGCACTCCCCCAGTCTCCCCAGGAATCATTTCAACTCATTAATCCTCCAGAAAGCTAATTCTGAAGATATTTAATTACTGCATTTTGCTTTGCCGATAACCGTTCATCAAAAAAAAACAACCTTCCTGAAAAGATACTATATAGAAAGACGCTGGTTTGTATCTCGCCTCCCCATTCTTCCCTGCCGGCGGCTGCTCGGGCCAGCGCGGGGCGAGCCGCGACCTGGCCCGGCTGCCAGGGCGGCCACACCAGCCCCATCAGCCACCCGGCGAGACCCGCCGCGTAAGGCCCAGTGCCCAGGGACAGTTCGGACAGTGCCCTGGGCGGGCTCCATCGGCGCAGCTGCACCCGAGGAGCCGCGGGGGGAATTCCCTCTCTCTCCCCAGCCAACGAGAACGTCCCACAGCGCAGGCGGGGCAGGTCCCGGGACTGCGGGAGACTGGAGAAGGGCCTCCGCGTCACCACCAGCATCTCTTCGGCCGCAGAACGCGACCCACCACCCCGCTCCTGCTCCTCGACCCCGGGCCCCGCTCACCTCCCGCCGCTCCGCACGTCCCAGTCACCCAAAATGGCGCGCACTGGTTGGCAGCACCTCACCGCGAGCGGAGGGATCCCCACAGCCGGCACTCCCCGCTCCCCGTCCGGGGCACTGCCGAGCCGCTGCGGCGGGCGCTCTTCCGGTCTGGCCCTCAGATGCCGCCCCGGCGCGGCGCCGGCCGGGCAGGAACGGGGAGGAGCGGACACGGCCCCGGGAGAGGGGCGCAGAGGGACTACATGGCTCGGCGGAGGGATCCTGTGCGCAGCGCTGTAGTGTCGCGCCCGATAGGCGCCCGCTGGTGCCCGCCCCCGGCGTGGTGGTTCCGGCAGTGCGGCGTTCCGCCCGTGGCTGCCGCGCCGTGCTCTGGCTGCGGATGGTGAGCGGGGCTGGGGTGTCCTCGGTTCTCTGAGGGTTGCACGGCGCTGGCGCCACTGCAAGGGAGGGTCAGGCCGAGGTTCAGCCGGGTCCTGGGCCCGGTGCCGCAGCCCCACGGTGAGCGGGCCCGCGGCGGCCGCGCTCGGCGGCCTGCGAGGGGAGGCGGCCCCGAGCCTCCGGGGAGGGGCGGTTCAGCTCTCGGTGGGAGCGCGAGTTCACGACGCGCGCGGTGGGTCCGAGTTAATATTAAACCCGTGTGTTTTGGCCTTGCAGGGTACGCGAGATCCCTGTGAGCCGGGACGGCACGGGCGCTCCCGGTGAGCTGTCGGCGGAGGCGGCCGGGGCAGGGGAGCCCCGCCGCAGGCACAGATGAGCTCCCTCGGGCGGCCGGGAGCCGCGGGCTGGGGCGGATCAATGGCAAACAGGTGAGATGCTTCAGCTAATGAAAAACCGGCACCTGAGGTCTGAGGGCGAGCCGGTGACAGCCAGGACGGCGCTGGGCTGGGGCTCCCGGTGCGTGCCGGTGCCGTGCCGGTGCCGTGCCGGTGCCGTGCCGGTGCCGTGCCGGTGCCGTGCCCGTGCCGTGCCCGTGCCGTGCCCGTGCCGGGCTCTCCCGGTGCCGAGCTGTCGCTCCCGTGCCCGCGCCCGTGCCCGCGCCGCGCGCTCCAGCTGCGCCGCCATCTTGCCCGTCCGTCTGTCCGCTGCCCTTTGTCTGTCCGTGGCTCCCGGCGCCTGCGGCGGGACCGGGTAAGGCGGCCCAGGCCGGGCCGGGCCGGCGCTGCCGCCCCCGAGGGGCGGGACGGGCCCCGCGGCGGCCCCTCCGCTGCCGGGGCCGGTCGGTCTGTCGGGGCTGCTGGGCCGGGACCCTCGGCGGTCCGTACCACTGCCAGGGGAGCCGGGTCCCTTTGTCTGTGTGTCCGGCCGCTTGCGGGCCCGGTTGCTCCTGCCACCTCCCGTGCCCTGGGACTGCCGTCTGCGTCCCGCTGTTTGGGGAGGCTGACGGGATCCCCGTGTCTATCCATCTGAGGCGGCTGACGGGATCCTTTTGTCTGTCTGTCTGAGGCTGATGGGATCCCTGTGTCCATCAGTTGGTGAGGGACTGACGGGATCCTTGTGTGTGTGTCAGCGAAAGGCTGACAGGATCTCTGTGTCCACCTTTCTGAGGAGGCTGATGGGATCCGTGTGACCATCTGTCTTGTGGGAAAGGATTTGGATCCTCCTTTTGTCTGAGGGGACTGCTGGGATTGCCACCTTCTTCTGTCAGTTTGAGGACAAGCAGTCGATGATGAGGCTGCAGGAATGGACAGGAGGTAGAAGTGTGTTGGGACTGCAGCCATTCAAGAGGTTGCAGTCACTCTTGAAAGGGGCACTCAGTTTTTTTTTGGGGGGGGGGCAGGATTGCTTAAACCTTTGCCTGAGAACTGGACAGGACTGCCCGTGCACGGTGACTTGTAAAACGCTTGTGGATCGTGTTGGATGCTGGCACGAAATCCAGCTGTGCTGATGCAGAACGAGCCTCGTAGACAGAAGGTGGAGAGTGACCATGGGACAACCATCTGAGCTTGGCCAGAGACTCGGAAGGTTCCAGTGAAGTGTGTGACAGGCTCTTCTCTTCGCAGGTGAGCCCTCTGCTGACGGGAGGAACACTCTGCTCCCAGGTCAGGGAAACATGTCCCGTCGGAAACAGACCACTCCTAACAAAGTTCACTGTGAGTATGATGTTACACAGCAGTGTGGGACCCTCTGTCTGGATTGTGGAGTGAGAAGGGGAGGATGGGAATGACGGGAAGGTACAGGTTGCGGGGAACAGTGGTTACTCACATTTTGTCTTAGGGAGCGTAAGAAGAGAAGCTGAGCTCTGTGCGTCAAGGGAGCTGGCTGTGCCCTGGCGTGGCAGGATGGGGATAGGCTTGAACAAACAACTAGTGCTGTAGAGATAGGTGTGTATGTGCAGGGCCTGTAGCTGGGCTTTGTGTTCACACTGTCATAAGTGCAAGTTGGAATACTAGGAAATGCGACTTAGGGCTCTGGCCTGTCTTGGGTAGCAAAGGAGGTTCTAGGCAAGGTGGTTGGAGCGTGTGGCTGAAAACCAGCAAGTCTTGGGTTTTGATCTTTGTCCTACCAGACTCAGCTGACTGGCCTTGGCATGTTACTTAAGCTCACTGTACCCCAGTTTCCTACTAAATAATTAAATAAAGCCACTTGCTCTTTCCTGTGAGGGAATGGGTGGTGGTCAGCTAATTCACAGGACAGAAAAATACTGTCTGCCAGATCATTCTTGAGCTCAGCTGGTAGGGCAGATCTCTGTTTCTCCAACCTTGCCAAGACCCAAACATTTGTTTGACAGTGGAAGGGCTGAAGATGCTGTACATCAGCACTTCTTGTGGGCAGGCTACAGCCAGGTGTCAGTGCAGCTGGGAGACATGGATGGAGGTTTGGCTGCAGAGGGGAAACTGCACATGTATGGCTTTTGGTTGACTGGTGGTAGCAGAGGGACGTTGAGGGGCCTGAAGCTATGCCCTTGTTCATACCCGGGTTTGTGGCTGGAGACGTGCTTGGAATTTGGGCTGGAATAAGGAAAACAAGTTCTTCTTCCATTTCTGTAGACCCATGAGAGCAAGGCTGCTGAGAGGGCCCTGGATATTGCTAGCTGCAGTAGCTGTCAGGAGTATGAGACAGAGCTGAGTGCTGCAGCCCTAACACTGCCTCACTGCTGGTGCTGCTGGCTTGCATGTCTGTGTGCTGCCTCCGTGCACGAGTACACAGCAGAGATCTGTGCATGCTGCTCTCTGTGTGAGGAAACACTGCTGGAGCGTGGCACCGTGCACACTCGGTGAGTGCACTGGGAAGAACTGCCTCTCTCTGGGACTTGCAGCCACACTGGCCGCTCAGCTCGGGAGAGCTGACCGAGCTGTCCTTGGTGACCAGCGTGAGGGTCTGGGGGTGTGGCTTGTGGCATCTGCACTGCCCTGTGCTCTCCAATTCCTGCTTCTGGGTGCTGGGTTCCACAGTGGGCAGACTACAGTTGTGATTTGCCTGATACTGCATTAATGACTTTGGAGTTGTTTTCCTTAGAGAAATTTGGAATGTCCTGTATTTTGTCCTGTGATGCCAGTAACACGCCTTGTGTCCACATACTTTTGCTTCTGAGAGTGCCCAGGTATTAGTGCTGCCATTGAGCTCAGGTTTATATCAGGCATGCACTTAAACTGTCTCCCTGGGGGCAGAGTTGAGGTTTCTCTCGAGTGTGGAAACCAAGGGCTACAGCAGCTCTAATGGTGCAGGTACAGCTTCCATGGTGTTTAGGTGGGCGCTTTTCTGCACTCCACAGCGTAAGGGTCATGTTCTTCAGAAGCTTGTACTGTTATATACAAAACTCTATATATCACAGAGTTCAGCTGTGCACTGTTTTCACAGTGAACATTGCTCTTCTATCTGCAATACAAGTGATTGTATCTCCAGTCTTGGTCTTGGGGGAAGCTGCCTGACAAACACTCTACCAGTGGGCACGAGGTTGAGGTTATGGCATCAGGTATGCCATGGAGAGGAATTCTGGGACCTGTTCACCTCCTTTACATGCAGAACGTTGCTACAGAGCAACTATTCAGCAGGAGCCATCAGGACCAGCAAGTAGGACTACAAGAAAATAAAGGGACCGAAAGATACCAGAAACATGTCAATGATGATGTCTCCACCTTGGGATGGAAAATCTTGTCTGTCTTATGATGAACACCACGAAATCGTTGGGACTTCTCTGTCTACCTAGCCTGCTGTGTGTCTGGAGGGCCCAGAAATGCCGTGCAGTGCCCTGACGAGGATAATCGGAGAGAGCATCGGCTCCAAGAACGGGGTGAGCCAGCAGAATGAGGAGTCAGGCTGAGACATAGCAGACACGTTACTGGGACTTCTTCACAGGGACTGCAGTGGTTGGGAGGAGAGGAATGAAAGGGACAGCAGGTATGCAGCTTTTTACACAGTTGTCTGCAGCTGGGGTCTGATTTGGCAGGCTCTGGGGCTGGGGAAGTGCTTTTTGGATTTGCATAAATACAACTGTGAATATCTGACTGGACAAATTTAATGGGAGGATGGTGCCTACTTCTTCCTTGCATGGCTACTCCATGTTCTCTTCTTGGACTCACCAGGGCAAGCGACAGCTGCAGATCTCCTTTCCCTGGCTTGCTTGGTGCTTCCTCTTTCCAGGGTTACTTTCCAGGCTTGGCATGGCCCTCATTTCACCTTGCTCTCACAACAACATGGTTTGCTGTCCTCACTTAGCACAGAAATGTTTTGTTTGGCATGCAGAGTGACCGGCTAGGAGATTGTGTTACAAGTCAAAAGAGTTTTAAATGGAAGTTGATGTGTAAGGAAATTCAAAGTAATACTGAAGCAATGGTAAAACAATTATAAAAATTACTATTATCACAAAAGTCTCATTGTGCATGGTGGCCAGTGCTGCAGTTTTAATTGTAGTCATTTCCCCTGCAGCATGTAATTGGCTCTTGATAATTTAATTTTGTTTTGCCATGTGGTGCATGAAAAACACACCTGACAAAGTGCTAAAAAAGAGAACAGTAACAGTGGAATATATTTACTGAAAAATACAATACAGTTAAGTTGTTTCTGTGGAGTAACCTTAATGATTCAATTTGGTCTTTATTGTCTCCCAGAGTCTGAAGTAGAAAAGTATAAAAACTCTCTGAGCAATTCATCTGCTCTTGCATTCAAGCCCATCTGTTGCTGCACTGTCACCCCATCAGTCGTGGACCACTTGCTGTCTTTGCGCTTGCCAAAATTTGCTGCAGGTGTTAGTGTGCACTTCTCTCTCCCTACCATCCATGAGCTGCTTTGCTTTCTCTTGCTTGTGCCCTCTGCAACTGATGCTTATTTTAGAACTCTGGAGAACAGCTTCTGTTAGTCAGATTAATTCCTGCTTCCGAGCTCTATTTATCATGGTCCTAATATCCCATTAATCCTCTATTTGCTTCCCTCTCTCTCTGACACACACATATTCTGTGCTCCTTGGATTCTGCTGTCTATAATATTCCCAGTTTGAAGAGGGAGTATCTTGCAAGAAATAGCACCCAGCATTCTCAACCAAGCAGAAATGTTACTTGCATCAAAATCCTTGGTTCTGAAGGGCTCCGTGGGCTGCCATTGTTAACCCTTTCAATTGTGTTGTTTTTCATTTCAGTAACCACTACAGCAGTGTGGACAACCCAGAATAGCCATGGGGCAGGTGGAATAGATCCACAGTGGTGGAAAGACTTGCAAATTTCAGGTCCAGGAACACAGAGAAGACCTACACGAACAGGGACTTTAAATTGGTGTACAGGGGGGAATAAAGTGACTAATCTCCGAGAGACCTTTCTGTTTAGGAAAGAAGGCAGGGGAATGATGCAGTTCCTTTGGATTTTGTTTTGTGGATTTTGGGGTGGGAGTTGTTTGTTTGTGTGTTTATTTTCCAGAACACCTGAGAGTTATCCTACATTCATACAGTTGGAGAAGGGAAGGGCTCAGGGCTGATAACCCAGCAGACCCTAACAGTCATGCCTATCTCTGTTGCTCAGTACCACAGGGCTGTCCCCTACCTCCACCGCTGCTCACCTGGTATCCCACTCATTCACAGGAGTATGGAGAGGAAAATGGAATACAAAGCAGAGGCATTTGTGTGATCTCTCATCTCTAGCTGCTTGTAAGCAACTTCAGTGACTTGTTTTGGTGTTGTGGTCAGCCTGCAGCCCTTTTTGTATTTAATAAAGAAACTTCTGGAGAAGAGTCTGTGAATTCACTATTGAGCATAACATCCTTTATTTATGACAGTGATGCTAAAGCTGTTGCCTGTCTTACTCCCCTTCCAAATGAATGGAAGTGAACCCAAAGCGGGGTGGAGGGAGGGATGTAAGTGGCTATATGGGAGCATGTGTGTGCAGAAACAACAAAAGCACAATCCTGTACTTATCAAATGTTAAAGTGCTAAGGCTTCATCAAAGTAGGACTTAGTTCATCAGTAGGTGAACAGGACACTCTTTGCTAAGTCATTTTGGGCGCTATTATTATAACACATAAGAAATTCTGTACAAGCTGAAGACAGCATTTTTACATGTTTGAGTTTCCCAATCCCGTGATGTTTTTGGATTCAGGCTGTGGAGGATGCACAGGGTGTCCCTGCTAACAGCACGGGTTTGGTTAACAGGTTGCATTGCTGGCTGTAAGCTGGCTGTTCTGTGCACTGTGCTGAGTCAATGCTCACTGGGCTCTGGGGGTGTTGTGCCCCTGGCACACACGATTACTCTTGGTTACTGTGACTGATGCCAGTGTTCCTGATGGGAGGAGTTCCCTCCTCTGTCACCTGGATAGAGATCCTAGCTCTTAAGTCCTGCAGACTGTCTGCATGGCTTGTGTAACTGAGCAGGAACCTGCCTGCCTTTGGACTCCAGGCTGCTGCTCAGTGGGAATGTAATCTGGAAGGGAAGAAAACAAACACAGCTGCTTCCACGAGAGCTGCAGTGGCGTTTGGGAATCCCATTTTGGAACTCTGTCACAGGTAGCACTCTCCCACCGTAGTTTTATATCTGTCCTGCGTTCTGCAGGTTTCCTCATTTCACCATGCTTTCTCTTTCTCTTGCAATGCTTTTTTGGTCTCTGGGCTTTTATCCTGGTGGTTTGTGGGTATCTGCTTCTTGGAGAGGCTCTGGGATTCTGTGTGTCTGCTGCTCATACAGTCTGTATCTCAGTCCTACCAACGTGAAGCTGTGATCCAGGCATAAAAACACAACTCCAGGTCATGAAAACCATTTGGTGCTGGAATGGCTTCTGAAGGGGCTATGTGTATCACAGCAGTCATGACAGTACCTGTTGCTTTCAGTGACAAATAGACTTGGGGTGCTTCTCAGCACCTCTCCTCACATGCATGGATTGTGTTCTCAAGTTGTCTCTACAGAAACCTTTCTCACATTTCTAAACAGAATGATAAAAGCCTTCAAATGCTTTTGGAAACCTCCATGGGGACATTGGGAACTAAAACTCTTCTCCCACAGTCTCTGTGAAACTTCTGAAGGTCTTTGAAATCTTCTCTAAATTATGGCTTTTTAAAGCCCTGCCAAAATGGTGAGGTAAGCCCCAGGAAAGGCAGGGAGTGGGAACACAGAGCAACACTGACTGGAACAGTTCAGCATGTGAGAATGTGCCTGTCCTTGTAACCGGACTGGTGCTCTCTCGAGAATTCAATTCCCTGGTTATACTGATGCCAGCTGTGGCCCAGTATTAAAAAGTAGCATTTTCTTCTGAAAGCTGTGTTTTGATTTTATTTGAAAAATGCACTGCATCTTCCTTGGCATTTTTGCATTTGTGCTTTGAATGGTCTTTAAGCACTTAAAAATCAGTTGATAAATGCAACCCAAAAGCCAGCCTGCTGGGAACTTCAGCATCTTTGCCAGGCCTCCCAGCTCATCCACTGAAAAAAGTAAATCACAACTACACCTGGAACAAAGTAATTTGTTTGCTTGAATATGAAAATTAATGGTTACCTTTTATTGTTATTCTCTGGAACCGAAAGTTATCTCGAGCGGGGATTGCTGAAAGTTTTCTTTCAGAGAAGCACAAATAACTGCTTTCTTACAAGGTGTTTGCCATTTCCTGTTGAGCTGAGATACTAGCGGTCAGTGCTTTCAACAGAACAGGCTGTTTTATCCTAAACGTGCATCTCAGCTCTCAGGGTTCCTTCCCTTGGGTTGCTGTTTTGAGCACATGAAGTGCCACTGAGATTCTACTTTAGCGAGAGCCATTTCTGGGCGAGGCAAGGTAGTGGAGCAAGTCATCCGTCGTATGCACAGGAGAACATCAGCTCCAAGCACAAACACCTTCTACAAGGACAGCTTGTCCTTATCCCTCCTGGAACAGAAGGAGGTGACAGAGCATGCCAAGAACAGCCCCTAGTTTTGGTATTACTGTGGAGGGCAGGTGATGTACCAGACCCTTAGGGAGGCTCTATTTTTGTGCAAGATGCCTGTTATAGCAGGGAATAGGACTTAATGATTTAGAAGAGCTATACAGTATCTGTATCCCTGATCTGGGATACTGTCATAGTCCCCAGGGGCTTTGCCCAGCCTAGAGCTGTGCTGTAGGATATTGGTGGATAACTTGTCAGCAAAAGCCACCTGGCTATCTAAGGCAGGTATATGGGTCTCACAGTTTTTTTTGTGGCTGGAGCGGCATATACAGCGTATGCAGGGGGCAGGCCAATGCTGGACATTGCCCTAGTGAGACTGTTCTACACCCAGGCACTGGACTTGCACCAGTAGGTGCCAGAGGCTGGTGTGGCAGGGTAGGCAGAGAAGTGACCTAAGTGCTTTCCAAGAGGTGACTCCAGAGGTTCTGCACAGTGCAGGTGAGCAGCCCTACGCCTGTTGCATTTTTGGCAAGCTGTGGTGGTGAACACGATGGAACAGCACTGGTCTGACTCTTTGTCCTTGTGGCTGCCAGGGGAGCAAGTCTTTGCAGGGCTGGAGGAGCAAGCCCGCCAAGCCATGATGAAAAACAACTTTCCTGGAGCTCTTGGGGACCAGAGACCAGCCATCCGTCCGCTGCAAGACCCCGACTCCAGCAGCAGTGAGTTCTGCCCCTTCCAGTAACGGCAAGGTAGTGAACTGGGGAGACTGACAAGGCATGAGGCTACGGGGTGTGGGGGGTTCTCTGAGAACCATCTTACCCAGCTCCTCTTCTGTGTCAGCCCTTGGCTCCTGTGCAGGACTTTGTCCTGAGAGAAGGCAAGCCCAGAGCCAAGGACCAGCACAGCACAGACTGGGCAATGCCCTCACCACTGGGACACAGTCCCATCTCACCAGAGCAGGGAAGGAACTGCAGCAGGTCCAGCTGACAGTTTGGCAATTATCGAGGAAGGCAGGATAAAAGGCCATGCCCAAGGACTCTGCAGAGCAGCTCAGGGACTGAAGTGCTCCAGACTGAGTTTAAATGAAGCCCATGGTGGGAGGGGGTGGGTAGAGTCACCATATGATGCTGGTCAAGACAGTTAAGACCTGTAAGTTAAGACCCTGAGGCCTATGAGTGCCCTCAGGGTCCTTACACTTGGCATAACTGTTCTGCATATTTCAGGTGGCAGTGATGATGAGGAAACCACCCAGGATGAAGTTTCTTCCCATACATCTGAGGAGGATGGCTCAATGGTGAAAGTGAAGAAGGAATTGGAGAATGCAGAACGACCCATGGCTGGAACCCCACTGAACGAGGCAAGTGTGTATTGGCTCTGCATTCACTGTAGCCTCCAGGGAGGGGAAGGGTACTGTCTAAAAACCTCCTGTCCCATCATGGTTCTTCATCTTTCTTTCCCTCCCACCTCCTCCAAACTTCTCCTGGCAGGAGGAAAGGGTATGAAGAGCTCTTGGACTGCCACAAATATGAGACAGCAGGCACGAACTGGCCAAAATGTTTGTGGAGTGTGTCCCCTTCCTTCAGTTTTGGTGCCTTTCTCTGATTGACTTCCCCTTCCCCCCTGCCACAGAGCAGGCTCTACCTTCCAGAGCCACTGTGCTGGCAAGAGCCTGGGTGCAAGTGGAGGCTGTGAGGCCTCTGCCTCTTCTCCCTGAGATGTAGGAGTTTTGCTCAGAGGCTACGTGAAGGAGGTTTCAGATGTCAGGAACCCAAAGCAGCCCCAGTGGGACTGGGCACACAGCACTGGATCTGCAGCAGCTCTGGGAGGAGCTCAGGGAGAGTGGGAGGCTGCGGGGGGTCTGTGTGCCTTTCACCAAAGTGGCTGTTCCTCTCTGTAGGTGCCCGAGAGTTTGAACACTGACCCCATGCTGGGACTGTCACAGTGCCCCCTCTGCCAGCTGGAGTGTGGAAGCAGAGAGCAGCTTATTGCTCATGTGTACCAGGTAGGGATGTCTCTGGCCTGAAGGCCTAAGTCCAGAAACAGTCCAAAGCACAGAGTAACTTTGTTCTGGTCTTTCCAGTCACAGAACTGAGCTGCTAGCTAGGATGTGACTGAACTTTACAGCAGTAAACTGTGTCCAGAGGGTGTCCCGGGGAAAGAATTAGTAAGGCACCAGTCTGCAGATCTGAAAAACACAACTCTATCCCATGGCAGTCTCTGCAAGTTTTGCAGGCTGAAACCAGGCAGTTCCTTCAGATTAAGCGGAAGCAATTTTTATATCATTCAGTGAGATAAGAAACCTTCCTCCTAATAACTCATTTATTTTTTACTTCATTACAGTTCTTGTAATTACCCATGAGAATAGCTGTTCTTCCTCTACATGGTTCCAGTTTTGCAGGAAATCTGTGGTGGAATCTCAGGTTTTGTTGTCAGTGCTCTCTTCATAGCATATCAAAGTCTGTAACAGAAGGAATGAAGCAGAACTGAATTGGCCACTTACCTGCACCAGCTGCCTCCATCTAAGTGCTTCCTCACCAGCATCCTGCCTGCTGTTAATCCAGTCATGCTTTGTCCAGCACCAGCTGCTCCTCAAATGCATTTCTGAAAACGAGGGGCAGGTCTTACAATCCAAGTATGTTGGCCTTAATTGTTTCTCCTGCACTGGAGTGGAGCTGTAGAAGGGTTTCTTCCTTGTTTGACCTGTGACACACCAAATGTCTTGAGCTTGGTCTAGTTGCTGTCAGACAGAGGTTTAGTGGTAAAGGGTTCCCATTCCAAGAGGCTGAACAGAACGGTTTGAGCGTGCCTTGGACTGGGCAGGGAGCTGGGCAGTGTGTAACTAACATCTGAGTGGTTGTTTTGCAGCACACTGCAGCAGTGGTGAGTGCCAAGAGCTACCTGTGTCCTGTGTGTGGCAGAGCCCTCAGCTCACCGGGGTCCCTTGGGAGGCACCTCCTGATCCACTCGGAGGACCAGCTGTCCAACTGTGCAGTGTGTGGAGCACGCTTCACCAGCCATGCCACCTTCAACAGGTCAGGGTCTCCCTGGCTGGTGAGTGGGCTAGAGCACCACATTAAAGATTAAGTGGGTTGCCTTAAATGACTCAGAAGTTGTGGCTGTGGACACACCGAGGCCTGTAGGACAGTGCTAAACATCCCCAGTGAGTGAGATTCCCTTGATCCTTTCCTGCCTGCAGCTCTGCATCCCCTGCAAAGACCTCCAGGGGCTGTGGTGCTACAAGGGTGTTCCTTAGCTCTGTGCAGAGCTAGAGGGGTGCAGAAAGCACTGGGGTCTCCAGTAACTGGAGAACAACACGCTGCTTCCCTTACCCAGCAATCCATCAGCATAAGGCTGCACTGCCCAGGTAGGTTCATCATTTTCAAAGCAGGGCTATAGGCAGAGACCAAAATGTTCTTTCTCTGTGCCCTGCCTGGTGGGAGATTATCCACTGACCAATGGAATGGGGCTGAAAGGAGAAATCCAGAGATGAGGGGAGGAGCAGCTCACTGGTTAGTTCCTGCTCTTGCACTCTTCCAACCCAGATACCTCTCTGGGCTAACCCACTTCCTACGTCGGATAGGATGGTGCTTTACTTCAGATGCATCTGTGGGCAAATGCCATGGCTTCTGCCATGGGCTGTAGTGGGGGCACTGTTTGTGGCAGCCCCTGGGAACTCTGAGATGGGGACTCTGCCAACAGCACCAAGTCTCTGACTCTGCTCCTTATGCTCTGCAGTGAGAAGCTGCCGGATGTGCTCAGTGCAGATCGGCTGCCAGCGCCACAGAGCCAGGGCCCCTCCGGAGCCGAGGGGAAGGACGTTGCCTTTCGCACCCCCGTGTACCCCGCGGGCATCCTCCTGGTGTGCAACAACTGCGCCGCGTACCGCAAGCTGCTGGAGGCGCAGAGCCCCAGCATGCGCAAGTGGGCCCTGCGGCGGCAGAACGAGCCCCTGGAGGTGCGGCTGCAGCGCCTGGAGCGGGAGCGCACGGCCAAGAAGAGCCGGCGGGACAACGAGACACCCGAGGAGCGGGAAGTGAGGCGCATGCGGGACCGGGAAGCCAAGCGGCTGCAGCGCATGCAGGAGACAGACGAGCAGCGGGCGCGGCGGCTGCAGCGGGACCGGGAGGCCATGCGCCTGAAACGCGCCAACGAGACCCCTGAGAAGCGACAGGCCCGGCTCATCCGGGAGCGCGAGGCCAAGAGGCTCAAGCGGCGCCTGGAGAAAATGGACATGATGCTCCGGGCACAGTTTGGCCAGGACCCCTCTGCCATGGCTGCTTTGGCAGCTGAGATGAACTTTTTCCAGCTACCAGTGAGCAATGTGGAGCTGGAGAGCCAGCTGCTGGGCAAAATGACCTTTGAGGAGCAGAGCAACAGTGCGCTGCAGTAAACCACAGCCACGAATGGTGCTGCCTCTGCTGTGCCTGCCCCAGGTGCACTTAGCAGGCTTCTGCACTCAGGAGGCTGCTGGGAGTCTCTCTGACCTTCCCTGACAGGTGGTTCTGGTTCTCCTCTGAACCCAGGAGGAGAACAGAGCTGAGAGGTGTCTGCCAAAGCAGCTCTGGTAGGAGCAGATTCTGAGTATACAGTCTGCTCTGGGGGCCAAGTCACAGCCTGTGACAGAAGGAAAATAAATTAATGTTCACATTTATTAGTCCCCTTCTTTACCTTTTGTGCTTTGTCCTGTTCTTGGATCCTGGCCCCATAGATGGGTCTGGGCTGTGGCAGTTCTGCTGTATGTGAAACCCACCTCACTACAAAGGGATCTTGTTTACTGCAGCATGAATTATGGAGCTGAAGACTTTGACAGTCCACAAGTCCTCCAGGAATAAATCCTTTGCAGTCTGTGCCCATAAAAAGGAAACAAAGGAGGATGTCTTGCTGGAAATGGCTGTGTACACCGTTTTTCTTAACACTATTATTATGTGCTTATTTGCAGTAGCAGCCATGGAAAAATTAAGAGGAAGCTAAGCTCCTGTTGTAAGATACTCCATAAAAACAGTAAAAGAAAGGCTGGCTGAGGAAAGCAAACAGCAGACAAGTTTGCTGCTTTACTCACAAGTTAATTTTCACCTAAACAACATTTCAGGTTTGCAAGTGGTTGGATGATAAATAATACAGCAGGTCAGTTTCTAGGACTGGATGGGTTTGCTTTCTTCTTTACTCAGCGCTGGTGAGACCACACCTAGAGTCCTGTGTCCAGTGCTGAGGTTCCCAGTGCAAAAGCAGCACAGATGTACTGGAGGCAAAATGTGATCATAGCCTATGCCTATAGGAAAAGGTTCCAACTATTAAATTATGGAAATTAAATCTAGGCATCTTGAATGTGGAAAAGGCAAAAAGCAGTGGCACAGAAGGACTCGTGAGGGGCAAAGAGGCGGTACACTCTCTGTTATTGGGTTTCTTTAAGAATGTGCATCTGAAAATGCATGGTGTAGCTTTGTGGTTTCCAAACATCAGCCACTGTGCCACACCTCTGTGTTTTGTAGCCTAAAGACCCCTACTACCTCCATAGCATTTCCATTGAAGGTCTTGTGTCACACAGACTGGTTCAAACACCCTGGGAGCTACTGTCTTCTCTCTGATGGCTATTTTTCTGCTTTGCAAAGAAATGGAGACCACAAGACTCCTATTTGAGATCAGAAGAGTAAAGTTAAAACAAGAAGCAAAACCTTTTGACCAGACTACTTAGAACCCTATTTCCCCCTCATTTTTCAGTTTGAAAATCTTTTGATTGCAGTCCCTTAAAGCCCGAGTTAAACTTACAAAAGTTGCCTTCGAAGTGCATTTATGTTGCAGTTTTCTGGCGATAATGAACTACTCTTAGTGCCAGCCCTGGGGACACTGCTAGGAAAGAGCACCGAACCTTTTCAGTGCTCGTTTCCTCCACATGCCACTGCAACACCTTGTTTCCTCCTACAGAAGCTGTTTTAACATGAAATTCATCACGTAGAACTGACACCCAGGAGCCATCCCTGTCTCTCTCACTTTGGGAAAAGGCACCAGATCTGGAAAAGGAGCTGTTCAGTTCATGTTCCTTTGTTCATCTCCTGCTTTGTTCTCTGATCTCTCACTTTTATCCTTACCTCTGTTCATTTTCATACTCAAACCCAGTTTGCTTTTGGCAATATTTGCTTTTGCTCTACCTCATGTATTTTGCTTGCCCAGCAGAGATGTACCTTCACTCTGCAACCTGCAGCTGGAACTTTCCCTGCAGCATCACTGGCATCTTTATGCCAAGGGGTTCAAGAGAGACCACATAAAACAAAAGTATCTGAAAAAATTATGGCTTATAATCCGTCTGTCAAACAACCTGTACCTTGCCCTTGTCATGAGTCTCCAGATCACTGTGTAAGACCAGAGAAGCCACATCTTGATGATCACTGATGCTACAGACAAGCAAAAAGTCTCAAACACCAAAGGAAAAGCTATTGGTTTATATATAGATATATATATATATAGATATATACTGTGTTTACAGAGTCAACAAGTTAAATGCAATATTCATAAGAGCATTAACAATAAAAATACAATCTGTGTGTAGCCAAGTACAGACTTAAAATGGTAAAACAGGAAAAAGGATCTCACCAAAAGTACAAATATACAGTACAAATTGATTTATTTAAAACAGTTACAAAAAAAGCACAACAAAATAGAGATTATCCTTAGAATTATTAATGCTTTGTTAAAGATCAGGTAGGAGGAAAGGGGCAGGGACAAGGTCGGAGGGGAGCACCTGACTAGTTCTAAGGCTTTAGATACACTGCGTTGGTTACATGTTAATACAGCCATATACTGGGGTTATAGTGAGGGGTCAGCACTTATCTACAAACACCTCCCTGCCTCAGGGCAGCCCAGCCAGCCCCCCCTGTGTCTGTCTGTCTGTCTCTGGGCAGACCCTCCCCGGCGCTAAGGTGCCATGAAAGCCAAAAACAACTCAAGTGTGCAGGGGCACGTTGGCAGCAGCAGGCTGGAAGGACCTTAGGGGCAATCCTGTCCTCCAGACAGGTGTGAAGGTCGTGCAAGGGCCTGGACCATCAACCTTTTAAGCCATACATGGAACACCCTGGGCCAAACTGTACAGAATGTGCATTTGTGGCCATCGTAGCAGCTTCTGCAAAGTGTCAGGCCCTAGGACAGCCTGAAAGACAAGGAGCAGTTGTGAGTGATGCTGGGGAAAGGCACGTGTGCTGCTGCGGGCAGGAACTACCATTTGGGCTACTCCAGCTGCTGTAGTTTCTTTTACAATATTTTCTGAGTAACAAGGATTGTTAGTTCTCTATGGGGCAAAGTGACTTCAAGTGTGGGGGTGGGGACAGGGACACTTAATGTGAAAAGTGCATTATACCTGCTCGGTGGCTGGAAGGGGAAGGCAGAGGGGGCCCTCTGCAGCTTCCTCCCTTCCAGACAGAGCTTCCTCTGCATAGTCGTAGGCATGAGCACTCTCTGCTGTGAATGACAGGCCTGGCTCCGCTGGGCAGCTGACTCGAGGAATGTTCCATGGGATGGGACAGATGGCTACAGAACACTCAGTATTGCATCCCACAGACTCCTGCTACAGAGTGTGAGCTGGGTAAGACCAGGGCCAGGAGGCCTTCTCCTCCTCCAGGCAGGACAGACCACAGCTCTCCTCCACAACAGGAACATATTTCTCTGAAGTCTGTCACATCTCTGCCAGCAGAAAAGCCCAGGTAACCATCCCACTCCACAATGTTTTCCTGGCTTTATCTCCTCTTTTCCCTGTAAACCCAAGAAATAAAAGAATGAGCTTCACGGGCTCATTCACAGCCTTTCTGCCTGCAGCAGAGCCTATCTCACACACTCCCTGTCCCAGGAGAGTCTCAATGCTCAGCACAACCACCACTACAATGCTGAGCCACACAGCCCAGCCCTGTAAGGACAAGTTCCAGTGATACCAGTACTGCTGAGCTGGGCTGAAGGACCTCCAGTGGTCCACTCCTGCCCACCGTTTGGGGCAAGCAGCCAGATGCACAGATTCTTCATCTCAGTGCCCTGCCTTGAGCTGTGCCTGAAAGCACTGCTTCCAGGGAGGAGCTGGCAGCTGAAATATGCACAACAGTGGGAGTGACAGGGAGTCTGGGAAGAAGGACTGAGGTCCAGTTCACCCTGGCCTGTTCCACAGAGCTCAGGACTGCACTCAACAGAGGTGCAGCAAGCCAAAGTCCAGGTCAGCAGCCAGGTAAACAATGAGGGTGAGCACCTTCACAGCCCTTCAGCTGCCTACAGTACAAAGCTGTTTTAGCCACACAGCATCTTGCCTCAGTCATCTGTGCTGCCCGTTCAGACCACGGCACAGTGTGGCTGAGATCGGAGAGGAGTCACAGTAACACACAGGGGATAAGGCAGGCTCTCCAAATCCTCACTCAGACAGACTCCTGTGTTCACACATGTGAGGGGCTGCACCCTCAGCTGCTCAGACATTCCCTCTGTGGTGTGGCCAACCCCTCTACATTCACACGCCACACGTATGTGAGATCCCTTCCTCAGCTTTCACAGCTCTCAATTCCTCTGCATGCACCGAGCAAAGAACACGCACGAGAACCTGGGCTCCTCTGTCTCCAGCCTCTGGCCACAGACACCTCGGGTATCCTGAGCATTACGTACTGATTACCAACATTAACCGAGGTCTTTGCGTAGGAGAGTGCAGTGAACAGGAGCTGTGACGCCCCCGGGTGACGGGGGGGCCCAGGGGGACACTTCACTGACAAACAGGGCTGTGAAAACAGCGTCTGTTCCCGCAGATGCTGCACCTGAGGAAGCAGAATCTTCACCCGACAGCATCACCGTGACTTCACACATCTCAAATACAGCTGATGAGATCAGAAGTAGTGTGTCATTTGGGAGCAGCTACACATGATACAGGCAGCACCCTCATTCTGGAGAGCCCCGTGAGGCACAAACACTGAAGGCATGATTAGCACATCTCACCTAAGGCCTGAAAAGAGTCTGTCCAGGTGCAGGTATTTCAAAGGCAACAGAAATGGCTAGCAATGTGCTAGGAAAACAGGACGGGGATGGAAGGGACATTCTGGAGACTCTCTAACTTGCCTGATACCCAGGCAGAGCACCTGCCCATCACACAGCAGAAGCCAACCAGTTACAGGACACACTCCTAGAGAGTGCAGAAGAGCCCTCAGGCAGCACCGCTGCAAGGAGAGGTGCTGACACGCACCATTCTGTGACAGAGAGGAGCAGTGCCCCAGAAGTCAGGCACACCCAACAGAAACTTCAGGAAGATGAGAGCAGTGAGACAGAAACAGCATGCTGGACATAAGGGCTCTGCACACTGAGAAAAGCCCTCTCCAAAGCCTGGTCCTAGCACAGAGATGGGCACCTGAACACAAGGAATACTTAACCCAGGTTAAGTCAGGGAAAACTTTCCTCCCCAGAACAGTGACCATTCTTTATCCTGGCTGAGCTGGTGTCATAATACACCATCAGAGAGAACAGATTAGTGTAACTACAGGAGCCTTCACTCAATAGAGTGTTATCACCACAATGAGGTATTCATACACAATTGTATTAAGTCCCACCATGAAAGAGACTAGTCTTGATTTTACCTTATTGTTCTACAGAGGAACTCTGAAGTGAAGCATCAGAAAAACTAACAAAACCACCCCAAAATGCCCTGTGATGCTGTGATATTTTTAGAGCCCCTACATAAATGAACTGTACTTTTCAGAAACTTTGTACCTTGCCTGCACATGCACAAACACTTGTCTCTTGTCCAGAGCTTATTCAGGAAACTGCCTGCAGGGAAGAATTAGCCATCCAGAATGGTTTTTTTTCTGAGTTAATTACAAAATAGCCTCGGTCTTCTCACAGAAAAAGGATGTTTTCATCCTTTCCTGAAGAATGCTGAATATATTTTAATCCAGCTTTAAAAAATACAAACTAACAAAATACCAAACCCCCAAATCCAACCAGACAAAAAACCCCAACCCCATTCATTCCTAGGCAAAGACTCTGCAAATTTATAAGCCCAGGATTTTTTTTAAAGTTACTAACATGGGAAGAAAGATTTGATTTGGTGGCAAACAATTAAACGTATTTTATAGCAGGAAACGAAATGTCTCCCAGCTCAACTTGTGTCCCATCCCAAGTGGTCAAGTTCCCTATTCACCTACACCCAAACCCATCCTTTTGGTCCTTCCTCTTGAATTTCTGTGAATCATTCAAATCTGTACATTCTTTGCAAGAAGAAAGAGCAGTTGGATTCAGTGGAAGAGACATTAATCAGAACCACCAGAGAAGCACCTCCGTCCTGCCCTCGAGAGCTCCGTCAGTGAACGGTCCTTTTAAAGTGCATGTGTGAAGAAAGGGGATACTGGGAGTAGAGCCCCCAGACTCCAGTGGGGACCCGTCTCTCCCCATCATGAGAAAGGAGGAATAAAATCTTCAGCAATTTTATCTGCTACCTTAAGCCGTGTCTGCCCTCCTCATTTCCCCACCTGTCCTGAATGCTCAGCCCCTGCCCTGCAGGGAGTCAGTTATCCCTGGAGGTGGGAGAAAGCCCTAGCCTCCAGCCTCTGGAATGCTCTCATTGCATGCTCATGAGCACGTCCGTGCTCCCCACCCCAGCTAAGCCTGTCGCTGCTCCCTGAGGCACTGGAGCCCTCCTGACTCCCCAAGAGTCAGCCACGGAACTGGAATAGAGCCAGTCCTGCAGGGCAGAGAGCAGCCTTGCTGGTGAACCTGTCAGAGTCTGTGCAATTCCTCCACCTGAGGGGGAGGCTCACCTGCCGGGACTGCCCCAGCTCACACCTCCACGGGATCACTTCCCTGCATTCGAACGCCCTTCAATAGACAGCTTCACCTCCTGGGGAATGAAAGAGGGACGGAGCAGGGAGGGCCGAGGCTCCTCTGCCTGCACGCTGTATCTTTGGAAGCCTGGGGCTGCCCAGCTGTGCTGAGTGCCAGCCTCAGGCTGAGAGGGCTCTGCGCGAGCGCTCTGGGCCGCGCTGTCCCTGTCCGTGTGGCTCTTCCTTTCAGCAGCTCTGTCAGGTGGCTCTCGGAGCCCCTGAGCTGTTCGTTCCGATCTCTCCCTGGCAGATCCCAGCTGATCTGTGAGAGGGGAGTTGGCCTGAGAAGCAGAGTTGCCATTCATGCTCTGTAAACTGATTGATATGCAGACATCCCCCACTTGCAGCCTGTGACAGGGCAAAGCAAAGAGCTGAGCAGTCCGCCCCGGGCTGCAGGAGGACCAGCCCTGGCCATACACAAAGAAGGGATGCTCCGGGGGCACATCAATGCTCACTTTACTTTGTTGCTCCCCAACCACAAAATGCAGTGTGACAAGCCCAGGCCACTGGCTTTCCTGAATATCCACCACAGTGCTGGAGTCGATCTTCAGGCCCCCGCTCACCTCCGCACTGCGAACAAAATCTTGAGTCTGCAGGTCCTCCACCCGCTTCAGCTCTCCTGTTGCCAGCTGGATGATGGCTCCTTTCATGAAGTGAGAGGGCAGCTGGGAGGAGCTGGGTGGCTGCAGCTGGGCCAGCTCCTTTTCCAGCACGCTTCCTCGAGCCTGTGCATCTGGGCTCTGCCTCACCAGGGCTTCTGAAGTGGAAGACCTGATGGGCTCAGACCCAATGGGAACAAGGACTGGCTTGCCGTTGGCTACCACCATTCCTTTGGTTAACTGTCTCTGTCTAACAGCCTCCTCGGGGGACATTCCACACGGGCTCCGGGACTGGCTGTTCCCAGCCCTATCCACGGTGTTTCTCAGCATGTCTTCCTGCCCATCAGGGATATTATGGCAAAGGTTCAAAGGGCTCGGATCATCTTTCCTCTGGGCTGCCAGAACATGATAATCCTGAGACGCCAGCACTCCCACCACCCTCTGAACCTCCAGATCAGTGTCTGGGGTGCTCCTGTGAGCTGGCACAGAGATCTCTCTTCCCAGCATCTGGTAACCTGGAAGGAACTGTCCGTCACCCACACCTCCTGCTGCAGCCCCTGGGGGCTGACAGTCCTCAGCTGCACTGCTGGCAGAGTCCACGGCCTCGCTGAGTCTCCTGGCCATGCTTTGCTCCAGGGGCCTCTGCCCACCGTTGGCTGCAGCCACCTCTGAGCTCAGCTGACTGTCCTGCTGAGGAGACACTGGGCTCCCACCTGCTGCAGGTGCCTCATAGGCCGCATACCCTGGTGGGAGGCGGGACATCTGATAATAAACAGGAATCCTGCCCGGGGCCATGTCCAGCTGGGGCACAGAGTGGTGCTGCACCTGCCCAGGAGAGGCTGCAGAGGCGGATTTGTTGAAGCTGTGGGTGGGAGAGGTAGTCTGAGGGGAAGGAGTAGCTTCTTCCGCAAACAGGGAGGCATATGGCACAAAGTGGGGGACGTGGGGGGCAGCGAGGTTGGTGGAAGGAGACAGGAGAGGACTAGGCAGGAAGGCAGGAGGGACGGCATAGGGCACTGTGTAGTGGGACCCGATGAGCTGCAGGGAGGCCGGAGGGATCTGCGTGTAGTGGATGGGGGGGAAGGGCACCCCCGGGTGCTGAATGATGGGTGAGCTCACGTTGAAGGCGGGGGACAGGGGGCTCACGTTCACCACGGGGTGCAGGCCCGTGGGGGAGAAGGTGGCAGGTGGTGCTGCCACTTTGTAGAGCATCCCGTACTGGTCCACCGTAAGCCCCGCCGCCGCCTCGGGGGCTTCGCCGGGGCCATAGCGGGGGGCGGCAGGACCCGGTCCGGCCGTTCGGGCCCACTCCGGGCCCTCGCCCGAGCCCTGGGGGCCCCCCGCCCGTCCCGCCTCGGTGCCGGCGCTGGCGGCGGGAAGGTCCCGCTTCTTTGGCGGGAGGCACTCCTGGCTCCGCTCGTGGCCCGCTCTCATGGCGCCCCGCGCTGTCCCGGCTGCCCCGGCCGCCGCGCTCCTTCATGGGGGCACCCGCTGGGGCTGCCCCGCGCGGGCTCCCGGATCCGCGCCGCCCGCCGCCGCCTCACCTGCGCCAGGAACAGAGGGAGCCGTGAGTCCCATACACAGGCACGGCGGCGGCCCCCGGCCCAGGGCCGGTACCCCGGGCACGAGAGACGCCCGAGCCCGGTCGCCGCCCCATCCCCGGCCCCAGAGCCCCGGCCGCGCTGCGCCCCGCGGACCCGCCTGGTGCCCGCCTGGTGCCCGCCCAATGCCCGCGGCTCACCCGCCATAGCCCAGCCCGGCCCCGCGGACCCGCCCGGTGCCCGCGGCTCACCCGCCATGGCCCGGTCCGGCCCCGCGGGCCCGCCCGGTGCCCACACCGGCTCCTCCCCGCCCGCGGCGCGCAGCGATGACGCGACACGCCGCGATGACGCGCCCGGCGCACAGGAAGTGCCTCATCCGTCGGCGGGAGTTCTGCCGCCGCCGCGCCCGGATGACGTCACGTGGCAGCAGCAGCGCCGTTGCCGTGGCAACGGGCCGCGTAGGCCCGGGGCCGGCCCGGCGGCAGCGCCGTGCGGGGTCTGTCGGTCCCGCGCCCCACGCGGACACTCCTCGGCTGGGCGGGAGCGCGGGCCCCGCGGCGGCGCAGCCCGGCTCACCTGCGGGAGCCTGCGGTCTGAAGGGCCCCGCTCCCTTTCTCGCACCCCCGTAGTGTCCCGCAGGGCCCGCGCTGCTGGCCGGAGCCCCGCGGAGGGCAGTTTCTCGGCATTCGGTGATCGCTGAGGTGACAAAAGGTCCTGGAAGGGCGGACAGAAGAACTGCTCGGGGCGGGGGCGGCTGTACACCCTTTCCTGAGGCACCTCGCTCCTCCTGCCGCCGACGGACGCTTCGACAGGGCGAGATCGCGGGGGGGCGGGGAGCGGTCCCGGAGCCCCCCGGAACCCCGGGCGCGGGCGGCGGGACCCGCCCGGCCCCGCCGCCGGGAGCGCGCACCACCGGGACCGCCCCTCTCGTGACGTCATCAGGGACTGCCACGGTGCAGACGCACCGCGCCTAGTCAAACCAGTCTCGCGGGTGCTTCCGCCAAGAAAAGTAGTGCAAAGGGCCTTTTCCGCCGCGCCGCCGGCGGTGCCGAGCCGCTCCCACTCCGTTCCCGCCCAGCCCAGCTCAACCCGGCCGCGCCCCCGCCCGCGGCCGGGACAGCCCGGGGGGCTGCGGCGAGCGAACCGGCGCGAGGATCCCTCCGCCTGCGGTATCGGTGCTGCGGCCGCGCCGCCGCCATTTTGAATGCCCGGCTCCGTCTGCCGCTGCCGCTGCAGGGACCGGCCCGGTGAGTGGGACCGGCTCGGGCGCCGCCGCCCGGTCCGGGACTCCGCCGCCGCGAGGTCCCGCTGCCCGGGGCCCCGCGAGCCTCGGTGCCTCTGCCCGCCCCGAGCTCCGCGGCCGGGCTGCGGTCGCTCTTCTCGCGGGGCCTCCCGGTGCCCTCCCGCTGCCGGCGCCGCTGCCTCCGCCCGGCGGCTCGGCCGCCTCGGACTCTGCCCCCCGCGCCCTAAGGCCGCCTGCCCGGGCGCCAGGAGCGCTCCGTGCCCGGCCCGGGCCGTTCCCCGGTGCGGGCTGCGCCCCGTGCCCACGGCTGGGGGGCCGCGCGGTGGCCGAGGGGAGCGCAGCCCGGGACTGGTCCGTGCTGGGGCCTGTGACCGTCCCAGGAGCAGCCGGGACCTGTGCCCGTCCTGCCGCCGGGGTGTGATTGCCTGGGCTGTGCAGCCGCTCCGAGCGTTACGGTGTCCCCAGTGCTTGCCATGTTTGCCGGCGATCAGGGGTTTCAGCAGGCGCAGGAGATGCACGATCCGGCCGGAGGCATTCTGAGCTGTGACGGCCGGTCTGTCAGGGAGGCTTCAAGTCCTTTCTTCAAGGCTGATTGAGTTCTCTTCTCACACAAACTATAAGACAAACTATATATATTTAATTTTTTTTATAGTGAGCTTTGTTTTTAAAGTTAGCAGATGGAACAGGTGTGCTTTTTATTGTGTTGTAAGTGATGCGTAAAAATGCTGAGTGATTTATTTCAGTTTCTGATACTTGAGATGTTAATGAGACAGCACAGAATCCCAGTGGAATACCTTTGGAAGTGTGACATGTCACACGTGTGGCTAGAAGGTATTTGGTCTGTAGTGGCTTAAACAGAGTAGAACATGTATGTGTTTTCCCCTGCATGGTGCTCCAGTATCCCACATTTAATATGGCAGCGAATTTTGTGTTGTTTTCTTTTTCTCTTTTTTTTTTCCTGTTCCACTTCTGTGTGATAGAGCACAGCAGCTTTTTGTACCCCTGTTTCGCCACCACTGCTCCTCTAAACTACACTTTGTATTTTTCCCTGTGTTTATTTGCATGTCCCATTCTATTGCCGAATTCTTTCTTTTGCCTACTCCTGTGCATTCCTGTTTGGCAGGGTTTGAAAACCTGCTGGGTACTCAGGAGCTCAGCAAAGGCAGGAGATTTTGTGGGTTTTTCTGAGGAGTTCAGTGTGAATCTCTTAATTCTTCTGGGCTGGGAGAAGGAGGGGAAAAGGTATTTAAATTCCTAGGACTTGAGGAGGGGAAAGTCTGTGGTAATTGTTTTGTGAAGGGATCCAACTTTAGTGTTTCCAGTGTGTGAGATAACTTTCAGACTTCCTCCTTTTATGATAAAAAACTCCATTATCTTCCTTTTTTTCTTTTCTTTTGTGTTCCTGTGACTGCTGATCTATTTTCCTGAAGGTGGTGTGGTAGGGATGGGTGGATCCTGTAGCACCTTTGTGGTGTTGTGTGAGAGAGTAAGGGATACAGAAATGTTCGGATTCTTGGTAGCTCCTTGTGTACAGAGTCTTGTAGTGGCATCTCTGTCCGACAGAGTGAGTGAGTGTGTCAGGCCATGGTGTGAGGAGGTTGTGGACAGCAGCAAAGAAACCCAGATTGTCTGTTCTCAGGCACACACAGCCTGCCCTGCTTGGTGCAGTTCAGGTTTGGAAGGTTGCCTTTCCAAGTGTGAGGGCTCGTGGAAATCTTAACTGCTGCTAAAGCTGATGTCACTCACTCAGTAAAGCTCCTTGAGCCTCTCTAGTGTGAGTATTTGTATTTGTGAGTAGGCAGTGTATAACTTCAGCAGATGGGTTGTTTGACCTCTTCATAGTTTTTAGTGACACGACAAACTCTTCTGACTGAAGGTGATGTTAACTTGTTGTAGATGATACTCAGCTGTTCTCTAGGGAAAAGGGTCTGGTCTGCCTTGTACCAGCATTCCATCACTGGACAGAAGTTCGGGAGTTAATAAGTAAATATATGATGAGGCTGTAACTTGAAAAACAGAGCTACGCTAACATGGGGACAAGTGAAACTGCTGATATCACAGGTATTAGTACAACCTGTACCTGCTGTTTGGCAGAGATGCTGCAGATAAAATTGAAGACTAGAACTTCCTAGAGCATAGCCGAAGTTACCTGGCCTGTTGTAAAGTGTATATTAATGAATGTAAAAATGGGGCATCATGTCTTTCATGTGGCATTAACCAGGGTTAAAAAGAGTGTGGGGTTTTTAGTCACAAAGTAGTAGCTAATTTTTTTTTTATTTAAAGTCTAATTCTACAGGGAAGTGAACAGGAAGTAAAATAGGCAGATTACAGATTAAAATAGCGAGGGACCTAGAAGTAGGTAATAAATACAAAGGTAATGTAGGTCAGTGGTGATTGAAGTATAGAAATGGAAGCCAGGAAATCTGGAATTCTGCATGCAGCTGTCATACTGATCAGCTCTGTAGCTGTGCTAATTCTTCTTCGTACCCTTGTTAGCATCTAAAAAAAGGGAAATATTTATTTTCTTTTTGGGCAGCTGTTGAGGTCAATGTTTGTAGTGGTTGTGAGCTCAGCACATCTTTTGAAGGCAGTTGAGGAGCTGTTTGGTTTGGGGTGTGTGCACAGTTGTGCAGGAGTGGGAACCTCATCCAAAGTGCTGAGTTGTGTGTGGGGCTGTGCCCCAGGCAGCAGAGAGTGGGAGGGGGCAGTGGGGTCTGTGCACACCCGGGGTCTGTGAGAACAGGTCCTACCCTGCCTCTCCCCTTCCCTTCCTCTCAGCCCCTGAGCAGCACCCTGCCTCACCTCTTCAATACTCTTGTGCTACATTTCTTGTTCATTTCTTGTTCATTTTTTTAAGATGTAACTGGAAGTGGGACCATCACTTCTCCAAGACTGCTTTTTCTCTCTTGTTTAGGGGCACTCTTTTCCTTACTTGACCTCCCCCCTCTCCCTCAGCTGTCTTTGTATAAAGCGAAGCATAAGCCTGATGCCTTTTATTATGAGAATGCATTTTGAAGCCCCCTGCTGCCTTAATTTCTTCCTGATTTTCTGATGTTACTTTCTAATTCTCTTGTATTCAATAGCTTTTTCTCAGAAGAGATTGTTCCACTTAGCATGTTACATGGTTGGTTGCCCTTTCACTCAACTCTTTGTGTTCCCTTTGCCCTTGATGATGATGGTGCTCCTTACTTTGGTGTTTACTGTTTTCTGTATAAATATTGGTAATACTAGACCCTATACCGATATCCCTGCTTTTGTTCACAGCTTCATCTCTGCTTGCAGTGCATACTTCTGGTTTTACTGCCAATGTATCTTTGTTTTGAATTATCTGATAGAAGTGTGAAGCCCACTGATAGCAGTGTGGCGTTGAGGCCATCGGCGTTGTGTATCAACATTGCAGACAGATCCTCTGCTCTTGTGTGTGGGAGGCTGGATTCAGTGGGACCAAAGCAAGTGGGGGAGTTCTGCTACTGATTTCAGTTGGGAGTTGGGTCAGGCTTTCATTGCCTAACTTCCTGAAAGCTGTGTTTGCTCGAGGAGTGTGATTGCCTGTGCAGGCACTGGGGTGGAGCAACTGGAGGTGTGTATTTTAGATGTGTGTGAAATCTGCTTCAAGCTTGGGGTGCTTTCTAGACAGAACCGACTTCAGAAATACTATTTACAGGAAAAGCTATAACTTGGCGTGTGTCTCACTAGAACTGGAAATTCAGACTATTTTCCCAAACAGTAGAGCCCTTCTGTGAATAATTGAATGAGCTTTGATGGCCTTTATGTCTTAACGTTTCTGGAATTCAAGGCTAAATAATAATGGAATGTTAAAATGTTAAATGTCTGATAATTTGTCCTAAAGAAGTTTTAAAGCAACTGTTTGTTTTTTTAATGTCATTACCATAGAGACACATTAGACATTTTAGACATAAGCTAATATTTCTGAAGAGTTTCCAGAGGAGAAGGTCTCAACTCAACATTTAAGGATAGTCTGTCCTTTGTCTTTACACTGCAATTCCTGATGGAGGAATATAGCTTGACTGAAGCACTTGAGCATTTTCAAGGTTGATTTTGGTAGTACTAGGTGCTTCTTGTAAATATAAAAGGTGACTCACCATTTTTAAATGTGACTGTGTTCTAAGAGAGACTTCTGGTAAAGTTCTGTACTCAAATATTTTTGGTATAATGGCATGTTGTGTAAAATCTTTAACTCGGAAATGTGACAAGCTAACTAGTAAAAGACCATAAAAGAGGAGAAAATACTGATTTAGCAGCATAATTTAGATGAAAATTAAATGTTTTAATACATTATGATTTTTGTTTTCTTGATTTTTTTGTTTGTTTGTTTGGTTGTTGTTGTTGTTTTTTCCTCACTTTTGGATAGTTTAAAAGAAATGAGTTGCATAAAGAGAACATGCCTTTTTATTGGTTCAGGGGGAGGATTCCTGAATAGCAGAGGGAGGAGAATCACTGAGGTAGAACCTTTTGTGCAACCCAGAGAATAGGAAAAAAGCTGGAATTCTATTTTCAAAGGAACTTAGACACCTGCCACCATTTGAACTAATCTGAGTTAGGTATCTGACTCTCTCAGAAGTTTTCATCTTGATAGTAGGTTCTTCTGAGGAGCAAGGCCTTCACAATGAGAAAGGGGAAACAGATCTGATGAGGGAGAAGAATTCTGTGTACAATCCTGCCAGATACTGTAAATATTAACTATTAGGCTCTTTTCAGGGCCTGATTTCTGGGGCTTGTAGTTAGCAAAGAAATGGCCAAGGGAAACTCCTACTGTAAACCAAAGGAGGAAATAGGTAACTACTTCTAAAAACTGCCTTGTTGTTTATGCTAATGTGCAAAGAATAAAAGCATGTGCCTGTGCTGGTGAAAAATGTTAACTAATCTTGAAGAACAAGATCTACTGCTTTGGAGGAAGTTATAAGCAGCACTTAGGCACCAGCTAAATTAAAACTCCGGGTCTGCTTTGGTAGATGATACTGTTGTCCTCCCATTGTTGCATTAAAGGTCTGTTGGCATTATGATAGACTTTGGAATTGTTGAGAATAGGTAAATGCTAATCTCTTCTGGAATGTTTCTGAATTTAAGTGTTCTTATGGCCCAAGTTTCTTCTCATCTGCAATACCTACTGCTTATGCTTACTTGCATGTTTGAAACTCCAAACTGAGGTGAAATTTCTAAGGTATTAACATGCAAAAGAATCTGAAAGTCGATGAAGGCAGAGAACAGGTACCTGCTGCAAGAATTTCTTGGTATTAAGAGAAGGCTTGTGGAGGGGAAGAAACCCCAACGTGCTGTGTGGCATGGGAACTGTGTTGTGTTGAAATGCTGGAAGAGTGTGTGCACAAGAATGGAGCTCAAGCTTCTAGGATAAGCATGTGAGGTGATTTGTGAGGGAGAGACACTATTTTACATAGATGGGTGCAAAACCTTTTTTATGGGAAGCATTTAAAGGTATATTAAAAAAGCCGAATGATTTAATATTGACTGAAAGAAAAAGAGTATGTAGTTGCAGCAAAAGGATGGAAGTTCTCCATGTTGGAAAATAAACCATAGCTTTGTCTTTTGTCCTTGATGTTGTCCTCCATCAGAGCAGTTCTAAATCGTTCTGTTCTCATCAGGCAGGAAGCTGGTGTGAGACGCAGGTGCTCTTAGGCAGTCTTAGGTTGGACTGTGTCTGTGGGACTGTGTCAGTGTGTTACATGAGTGAGGACAGCAGGTAGCCTCAGAATTTGGCTGTTGAGACTTACTCATCAATTCTCTGCTTTTTGTGCTGGTTTCTAATTGCTTTCCTGTGGTTGTGGGGTGAGGAGAAAAAATAATCTTTACGATGTGCCTTGCTGATTCTTTATCTATGCAAGGACATTTGTAAATGTGGGTTGTTCATTTTGTCAGCACCTGGATGATGTTTGGGTGCAGTCCTGTTAGATCTTCAGTGTTTGTTTTCACTGTACCTGCCTTCTCAGTGAGGTAGGAAGTCCTGCCTAAACACTGGGGAAGGATGCAAAAAATATTCATAGAAAGTTGCACTTAGAATATATGGTAACTTTGTTCAATTCTCTTTTTCGTTGACTAGAACTGAATAGGCAGTCTGTCCTTTTACTTTCTGTTGTCCAGGGCCAAACTTAAAGTGCTGAAGCCTTCCATGGGCATACTGACAGAAAGTTTTGGACCCATGGCAAGGAAAGCACTGGGCTTGTAGAAGTCACAGGCTGCAGATATCAGTGTTCAGCAGTTTATAAACTCTTCAGATATAGAGTGGGAGCAAAGCAACTTGTATCAAAGCAACTTGTTGCCGAACTTCAGTTTGTTTGCAGATTATGTATTGGTGTTTCAAAAACTTTCTAAACAGATCTTTCTTTAAAATAACAGTCATAGTTTTAGCTTACAGTAGACACTGCCTATCTTCTCAGGAACAGCAAAGTTGTAGATCAGCTTAATTAGGGTGCATGGCCATAGCATAAGTGTGGATTACTGCTGGAGAGAACCCTTCTCCTCTTTCCCACTTGGTCTCTGCATGTTCTCGCTGCTCCCTTTGTGTCTGCACAAGCCGGACTGATGTGTCTGGGCACTGCTCTTGGGAGGAAAGGGGAAGGCTGTTTCTCAGATGTACAGGTTGCCTCACGTGGTGCACTGTCCCTGGAATGCCAGAGTCAGCACAGTGGAAGGACTGGAGCCACCTTTTTCAGCATGAGCCTCCACATGGCTGGTCTTGATGATTATGAAATTATTGGCTGTAAACTGCAGAGGAATATTCCTGCAGTAGTGCTTTTATTTTTGTAACTTCTGCCCAATCTTCCAACAAGAGCATGGCTTATCAAAATCAGTTTAGAAGCATGTGATATATGTGAATAGTAGGTGACTCCAGGCTTTAAAATTGGGGACTTTAAACAGACAGTTATTACCCAGGAAGGAGTTTTTTGGGTTTATGATACTGTTATGTGAAAAATACAAATTGAGCACTTTTTAGCAATCAGAACTCCAAAATGAGTGTTACCAATTGTTAAGAAAATAATAGAGAGCAAAATAGGAGATATTTAATATAAATAAATCAATAGCACACCTACCTCTCAAGTGCTGAGTGCAGCATTTTGCCCTCCTTTCCCTTCAGAAAGGATGCAGAAGAACTGTAGAATGTGCAGGCAGGGCAGCAGAGGTAATGGTCATGGAAGGACTTCTTCTGGAGATTCTTAGTTCCCTGTGACTATTTCTGTGATGCTTGTTAGTGCAGCATGAGTGCATAGCAACAGTTAATTTATTCATATTGCAGTAATGTGAGGAAGTGTTATGAATTCACATGGAGAGACAAGGAGAGACTAAGGAATAATGTGTCCAATAACCTTGATCCTACACGTGCCAGCATTTTGGGACACTTTACTTATGCAGGAAGAACATCTCTTCTATTTTCAGAGCTGAATGCTTTGTGTCTCTGTAAATTCAAACTTTCTAAGTATGAAGATGGGGAACTGAAATATGAGGAGTCTACTTGGTTTGGCTGAAGAGGCTTAGTGTTATGTATGAGTTTATAATTGAGACTTACAGACCTGGCTTTGGCTGGCTTACTGTGAGGCCACCTTTACTTGTTGAACATGCATCTCTCTGCTTTTCTGAAAGCAAACAAGCCCCCTCTTAGCTCTGTATGTGTCCTAGCCTGTCTGTGGTGTCATGCAAGCTAGTTAGTGCAGTACTTGAATGCACATCTTTTTCTGATATGGTAATGCTTAAAATGTATGACACACTGTTCTGGGGGGATGGTGACCCAGACAAAATCTGTAGTAGACTGCTATGGCAACTTTTTATGAGTTGGTGTGACATTATCTGTTATCAGAAGGGCTCGGTTCCGTTCACAAGCTGGCATGGATGAAGGAAGGCTGTAAAGATGCTTGTGTAGTCTGAGCTCCCAGAAAGTCAGAAGTGAGCTTTGGTGAGCATGAACTAAAAGTTCAATTGTTGAACATAATCCTAAAGTTTGGCTCCTGTTTGAGAGCCACTTCCCTCTTACCAGATACTTGGTAGGCTACGTTGCTCTTGGGGTCAGATGGCTCCGTCAATATTCCATCTGATGAGGTGAAGCTACTCTTGAATGTTTTTGCACGCTCTTTTCGTACCAGTGCCACCAGACAGTAATGTCACAGGCTTTGTTTGTTTCAGAAAAGGTGGTTCTATTTGGGGTGTAATAAAAGGATGGTGTCAACTTGATATATTTATTTTTAAAACAGGATTCTCTGCAATATCCACACAGCTAGGATTGCTCTTCCCTCTGCTTTTCTGCTGACTTCCACACTGCTCTGAAGGAAGTGTATATGGCACAAGTTTGGAGGAGTTTTGAAGCACGGCCATCTGAAGCACTTATGTGAAGTCTTGTGGAAGTTATTAAACAGAGTTGTCTTTTTTAAAGGATTTCTGACCCAAGTTGTCATGATTCTGGGATCAGCTGTCTTTGGAACCTGGCTTTTCTGGAGAGAGGCAGATGATATGAATATGAGAGTACCTTGCAGAATGCTGTTTCTGCCCGTTTCAAGTGGGGAGTCATGTTCTATTCATTTGACAGGTGGCTCAAATCACAGCAATTCCCATTTCTAATGTTCTGGAAAAGCAAATGTGAGGTACAATGAATTCCTCATGTTCTCAAGTTTACTTTTAACCATGCTACTGAAGCAACCTATCTTTTCTTCATTCTTTTACTTATATACTGGTAGGGTAAGAAATAAAAAAAATACGCAGCAGTATGAGAACAGCATGAAGCCTTTAGGTACAGTACCAGTTTTACAGACCTCTTTCTTCTCCCAGAGGATGCCAGCCCCCATCAGACTGCGGGAGTTGATCCGGACCATCCGGACAGCAAGAACCCAGGCAGAAGAGCGTGAGATGATCCAAAAGGAATGTGCTGCTATCCGGTCGTCCTTCCGAGAGGAAGATAACACATACCGATGCAGAAACGTGGCAAAGCTGCTGTATATGCACATGCTGGGATATCCTGCACATTTCGGACAGGTAGGTCAGAATTCAGTGCCCTCTGTGCATATGCCAGTCTGCCTTCTGGTTTTGGGCACGTTGACTTGTTCAGAGCATTCCTGCGTGCGGTTTTGCTTTGTTCCTTTGGGATGTTTTGAGGTGTGTTTTCATGTATGATCTGCACTTACATCAGTTAGTTTTGATTTTGTTAGTGATATCTGCTGTTTGGGGACTTAATGTATTTTGTTTTGAAACTTAGTCTGCTTTTGCCATACTGTCTCCCACCTCACCGCTTGTGTTTCTGCAGAGCAGTGGTGCTTAAACCACAGTCCAAGACAGAGATATTTTTAGATGGGTTCAGAACAGCACTTTGGATTTTTATCTCTGGTGGAAAATACCAGATACTTCAAAGGAGTTTCTATACCCTTTTTCTTCTAAAGCAGACAAGAGCTGGTGTGTTCCCAGCAATCAGAAGTTGTGTTCCTTAACCATCTTAGTGAGGTGACATGGAGAATGCAGGTATGAGTTTTCCATCTCTTGGCTTATTTTTGATGTGCTATTTTTGACACAGATTGTGGAAAAGGGAGTCAAGAAGATGAAAGTTCTTGATCTACAAGTTCTTGACAGGGTTATCTTTGCTCAGTCTTTGGGGCACAATCTGTTTTGCTTAGAAGTCAGTAAGTGTCCTATTAGTGGTAGTCTAACCTAGGTCTTCAGTAAAGTTGCAGTCAGTCAGATCGTTGTATCCCTTCAAGTAACTTCATGTCTCGTGAGTGTATCCGTTCATGATTGGATTTACCAATCCTGATATGTATCACTGAAACAGTAAGCTCAAACTAGTGAAATCAAAATGTAAATAGTGTTAGGGAGTGAGTGTGGGCTGTGCTTTTCCATATAAAGTGCATCATCTTACTTCTGTATCATTGGATTCTTCCCTCAGGATAATGAGTTGTTGAGTAAGAGCAAGTGAATTTGTGCATTATTATGTCTTTAACGCTTTTCATAGCCAGGCTCCCTGGTCCAAGAGAGAAACTTCCTGTCACAAAAATTAAGGCTTAAGTATCTTAGAGCTGTAAGAATAATGATAAGTGTTACAGATAAGTGTCATTGAGAATTTCTCTGTTTGGTCTATGTTACAAACATGTTTAAATTTCATTCTTTTGTTTTGTTACTCAAGTATTTAATGCCGTTCACTTACGAGTTGGACTCAATGATCCTTGTGGGTCCCTTCCAACTCAGTATATTTTGTGATTCTGTAATATATAGAAGATTAGAACAGATATCAGATATCTAGTAACTTGCAGTTTCTGCTTTGGTCAATAGTGGTAAATTCACTCTCAGTGAAAGAAGGATAAAGCAGATTTTTCAATATCTGTTGTTGCCAGGATTGCTACATCTCAAGAAGAAGCATCTATTCTGACTGTTTTGGGAGCAGGGCACTTCATTTGATGCCCTTGGTTGTCATGGAGTTTATCAGCTGCACTTTCAGGAAGGCTCCTTCAGGAACCACTTTTCAGCACCCCAGTGCTGAAAAGGGGTTTTAACAAGTGTTCTCCAAGTGAGTGACTTAGAGACCTTCGCATGTCCTCAATGCTTATTACTGGAAGGAATCTTTCAAGATGGTGCTGTTGTGTAGGAGGAGTGTGGTTTGTGTGAGCTGGGGACCTGTTGAGGACACATGCTGTTCCAGCAGTGGAGTGGAGCAGAGAGACAGTCCTGCGTTGTAGACAGGAAGCTTCTGAGAGTGACAAGATAAATACACAGGACAGATGTTTTGGTGAAAAACAGGAGAGCCACAAGTGGTGGTAGTCTCTCTTAAGGCTGTAAGCAGCCTGCAGCTAACAGTGTGGGTGGGGTAACCAGGAGTGAATGGTCAGTATTGTTCTTTCCGAGCCAGGGATCCTCAACTTTCACCCAGGATATCTTGTACACAAAGATGAGCATGAGCAAGCTGTCTCTTGAGCATGTGCAAAGGCCATTTGTGCAAGTTCAGAGTTGTCAGACAGCCCAGACAAATGGTCAAATAATGTTACTATTATCACTGTGTCTGTTTGCAAAAAAATTGTAGTTGGTAGAGTGGTTTTGTCAGTAGAAGTTGGGTAAGTTGTAGTCTTGTTACATGCCAGTACTGTATTAGCTTTGCTAATGTATCTGTTACAGTACTGATGTAGCAGATTTTAATTGTTCCTTTGAATGAAATGGATATAACAGTATCAAGATTTTTTCCACTAATTGACCTAGTAAGAGTTTCAGCTGATCATGTTTCTTAGCGTTGCTGTGCATGTATCTAGTTTGCATGTATTTATATCCAAGTAAAGCAAGAATTCATCAGCCTTTCATGGGGTAAACTTCACTAATATCTTTTAAATTCAAAAGTACTAGAAATATATCTTAGAGTATCTGTTGCAGTCATCAATTTTCTTATGCTCTTCCTCAGTCATTCATCTTCTGCCTTTGTTGGCTCTCATACTGTAGCTTAGATGTCATCAATTTTACATTGCATTTTTGCAGAGGATTGTATAAGAAAGTATCTTGTAAAGCCAGGAAAAAAAGTTGATTCACAGGTGCATTATTCTCTTACAGAAAGCACAGGAAAGATGAGAGCTCGATATCTAGTGTTCTGTACCTTATCCTTGGTTGATCTTACCCATTTGTGCAAATTCAGTTATCTTTGTGGATGACTGGTCTTATTGTTCAGAGGTGTTTATTCTAGGTTTTCATCCCCTTTAAACCTAGCAAACTGAACTTGCTTGCTTTCAAGCTTTTTCTTACTGGTTTGTCACCCTGCACTAGCTGGGCGTTCACACATGACGACAACTTGCCCAGTTGAGTGTGTGTTCTGATGCCACATGGTTGTGAGAACTTAGCAGTGATGAGGCCATAGCACTTTCTATGGTGCTTCAACTTTGATTTTCTTACCAGTGTCCTGTGCAACTTTCCCCTTGTGATGTGTGTGCTTCTTGCATCTCTCCTGTGCCCGTTTCCCTGTTCAAGCTTCCGTCTAGCTGGGGCCGTGAATCCCTTTTCCCAACACCCTGTATCTCTGCCTGTGCATGCCTCCTTTACTTCCTTTGCAATGGATCTGTTGCCAGCTCTGTCTGACCCCTCCTCAAACTCATCATGTACACCTACTTGCTGCCCCAGCTAGTTTGTAAAGCAGACTTACAGGAAGTGTTTGTGAGGGAGAGATCTTTACTTTCCTGTCTGGAAAGTAGATGTTGATTATACTTGGTTAGTTTTCTGTTATAGAAAAATATTTTAGTGCATAGTAATGTCAGAATATCTCTGTTTTGGTTTGTTTTGGTTTTTTTTTTTTGCATTAAGAAAGTGCTAAGTTTAAAAATGGGTTAGCAGTTAAATTCTTAATCAGCAGAGTGCAAGTGGCAGCTATGTGTGTTGTTTTGGGGATTTCCTCTATGCTATTGGACACAGTTGCTGTTTCTACACAGTGAAGGGAAGTTTGTAGTGGCTACAGTGCACGTGATTTTAGTAGACTTCTGGTGTTCCAGCAGAGATTAAAGAGCAATGCAGAAACTTAACTATCTCTGACAGTCTCTGGTTTACCTAGGTAGCAAGTTAGTTACAGATCATAATAACAAAACTTGTTTTTAGAATCATAGAATCCTAGAATGGTCTGAGTTGAAAGGGACCGTAAAGGTCATCTAGTTCCTACTGCCATGGGCAGGGACACCTTCTACTAGACCAGGTTGCTCCAAGCCCCGTCCAACCTGGCTTTGAACACTTCAAGGGGTGGAGCAGCCACAGCTTCTATGGGGAACCTGTGCCAGGGCCTGAGCACCCTCACAGGCAAGAATTTCTTCCTAATAACTAACCTAAACCCACTCTTTTTTCATTTGAAGCCATTGCCTCTTTTCCTATCACTGCCAACTTACAGAGCATTGATCCTCTCTCTGGTAGATAAATAGAGGTTCTTAAGTCTGGTTCAGAAGTTTCTGGTGCAGAGTCAACAAGATGTAGATTTCTAGATCTTTACAATTTTGTTTTTAGTGATGGATCTATGATCTCTATCAATATGTAATCGTTTACTTTTGTGATGTGACATAAACCCGCATATCTAGTATGTCTGAGGTCATGGAAGGCCAACAGTGTCTGACCAAGACACAGGAGCTGCTAGTGACCTTCCTGCTGGCTTGCTGGGAACTTTGGGCAGGTCATTTAACTTTTCTTGGTTTTCCACATCACCAAAATGAGAATCAAATACACTTTCAACAATGCATTCTAAGAGACCTATATTAGTATGCATCAAAATTCAAACTGTTTATTCTCTAGCTAAGAAGTAGTTTTAAGCTAATTGTCTTTTTTTTTTCCTCTTTTTTTCTTTTTTTTTTCCAGTTGGAGTGCCTCAAGCTCATTGCCTCTCAGAAATTCACAGACAAGCGCATTGGGTATTTAGGTGCCATGTTGCTGCTGGATGAGAGACAGGATGTCCATCTTCTTATGACCAATTGCATCAAGAAGTAAGGGTACCACCTCTCTCTCCATCAACACATGCTCTGAGGTTTCAGGATCAGAAAGTACACTCCTGACAGTGATGTTTTGAGTACTTCAGGTTTTTTTCCCCTTGTGTTAGAAAACTGGTATCTTCAATTTGTTGTATGCCATTGACCTTAATAAGGCTGTTGTAGTATTGCACTGTATTGGATGATCCTGCTTCCTTAGTGGGAAGAGAATATAAAATTGCACTGGTTTGGAAGAGGCATATGTAGAAAGCAACACATATTGTCCTGTGTTTGTTTGCTTCTGCTGATGAGCTCTGGAGAGTCGTCAAGGAGCAAGGCTGTGTATCTTACTTTCTCTTTAGGGTTGCCCTGACAGTCCTGATGAATGGTTTTCCTTGGAAGCAGGGCAGCAACTTGGGATGTACTGTCTCTGTGTCATTTTGCTGAAATGAGACAAGAAGGGATGGGAATTAATTTTTTTTAACACTTTTCTTCTCTCAGCAAAACGATTTTAAACTGTGACTTTTCTACATCATAGTATAGTAAATGACAATTAGTGTGTTTCCAGTAACGTTACTTTCAAGATGGATGGGAGCAGGAGTGGAACAGCTGGGTTCTGGGTGACTTACCCAAAGGCCTGTTTGGTTGTGTGTGGTGTGTCTGTTTTTATTATGATTTACTTTTAGCACATAAGCCTCTCATATATGAGCAAGTAAAGCACTGATCTTCACTTAGACTGTAGCCTCAAAGTGCTTGGAAAGAAACTTGACAAAACTGCAGGCCTGAGGATCTGCTAACTTTGGACCCAGTGTCCAGGAGATAAGAGATGTTTGTGTAAAGATCTTCCTCTGAAATGCCATACCTATGAGGCTCTTCTGTTAGAACCAGGCTGCAGGTTAACACCTTTTGATTGTTTATACTACAGTGAATTTGATAAGGGTGTCCTGAGTTTGAACTGGGAATGGGTCAGGCTGAAGCTGAGCAAAAATGGTGGAGAGCTTCCTACTACCTCCCTGGGTTGTTTATTGATTTCTCCTTTGGCTTTCTGTATCTACCACTTTGTCTTGTTTTTATCTAGACATTAAGGGATTTGATTTATGTCATTGTTTTTAATTATTTTATAGCAAGACCTAGATTTTTGATACAAAAGGGTGAGCACCCTCTTGAAGCAGGTACTTGCTATACACACAGCTTTATGTAGCTGCCAAAAATTTGTTAAAGGAAGGAAACAAAAAACCAACCCATTTAGTAGCATGTGCTGTCTGTTCCTTCACCCGCCTGTTGCCATAACTGCTTGGTGTTACAACCAGGATACTGTTCTCTCTCTGTTCTGCACCTCCTGTGTGTTGGGTTACCCACCACTGGTTTCCCTGGCTCTTCCATGGTGCAGTCCCCAGCTCCCCTTGCCTCCCAAGCCAGAAGCTATATTTTTTACTTTCTTCAGCATTGAATCCTGGGTGCTGTGGCAACATGAGTACCAAACACAGATGGAGAAGTAGTGTGCAAACAGGTTTTAAAGGCTGTTGAGATTGCCGTGTGGAACCTATGTTGTCTTGTGCTTAGTGTGACACTGGTACTTGGCCTCATGAATAGTATCTCCTGTTAGGTGGTTTAACTTCTTATTAACCACTTTTCACAACTTCCTTAGGCATATGAATAGGAAGAATTGCTGAACAGAATTCCTGTATGGTTTATTTTCAAGGTGTGTGAGTGGTGGGGTTTGCGGCTTTTGGTCAGGATAGAGGATACTTTTACGTAGATTCTTCTATCCTGTTTGGTTTGTAAATGCAGGAGCTAAAGTCTGTCCTAGAACATGTTTCATATGGGACAGCCCACAGAGTCACTGCAGGTCTGTACTTCATGTTAATTTCTTTTCTGCACTCAAGTTCCAAAATACAATGTTTTGGTTTTAGAAGTTTTAATGGAATTCCGTGTGGTCTTCCTTCTTCTCAGCTCAATCTCTGGATACCCACCTGATAGTTGAGCCAAGTATTTTATCTTTTTAATTGAGGATTCTAAGTAGAAGTAGTAGCAAACCCTGTGGTACATGCACTCAAAGCTGCTATTGTTCCCAAATTGTGCTCCCACATAGCTGAGAATCTGGAAGGTTCTTTTGGGCCATGCATGCAGCTGGTTAGATGACTGTAGCTATAGATACCTTTTTTTGTGTGTTGTTCAGTTTCTCTGTGTGCATGCTGATTGACTTTTTTTTTGTTCTCCTTTACAGTGACCTTAATCACAGCACACAGTATGTGCAGGGGCTGGCACTCTGTACTCTTGGCTGCATGGGCTCCTCAGAAATGTGCAGAGACCTTGCAGGAGAGGTGGAAAAGCTCCTCAAAACTTCCAACTCCTACCTGAGGAAGAAGGTACTTCAGGAAACTTTTGAATACTTTTTTATGTGGATTAAAAGGCAAGATTGATTGAATACCCTGGTAATATATGGAATATTAGATGACTGAGATGACAGTGGCTGAATATTTTCCCATTGTGCAAGGCAGAGCTCAACACTCCCTGTCTGTCAATAGCAAGAATGTGTGTAAGCCTCTAAAAGACAGGCCTCCAATGGGTGAGGCAGTTGTTTGCATTTTTATACTCTCTATCCTAAAGTTATTGATGGTAATGTGAACACCTGACCCTCCACAGACATTAGCCCCAAACTCATGGTCATCAGTTTTATTTCTTGACAGATAAGTCCAGAGAAACTTTAATTATTAGCAGTGCAGACTGGTATCTGAAGATTTGGACCTATTTGGTGTCTTCTGTTGATGATGGTGGTGACAGTAGTAAGAGAGCTAGAAAGGTTAAGGTCTTGAAATGTGAAAACACAAATTTTCTTGTTTCTGCAGCAAATGTGCCATAACATCTGCAGAATGTGATCACCCTCCTTCTTCTAGATTTATTTACTGATAAATTTTGGGAAGAGTGTGGAGCTGTAAGATTTAGGAAGAGGTGTATTGTTACTTCTTTGTCTAGTGCTGGATCTAGAGAGAGATTGGAGAGAAAGCAAAGCTAAGAGGTATTGCTGTATTCTGGGAAGAGGCCCTTAGTGCAATTCTCAAGCAGCTGCAAAGAATAGTTTTTCCTGTTGCTTTGGCATCCTAGAAAAAAGAGGCTTTTTTTTTTCTCTCCAAAAAACCCTGAAAGTATACTTTTGTTTCTCATAGCACCCATCACCTACAGGAGGAAGTTATTTTGTGGGGAGGGAGATGATATTCAAGGAAAAGTAAATGAGCCATAATTTGACATAAGTTTAATTATTTGCTTCCAATGCATTATCTCTTCCCTAGCAATAGGAAGACAGGCTGAAGTAGCCCTGTTAAAGGCAGAGTTGCTTTGCAGACAGTAGAACTTCTGATGTGAATAATGTAGAAGTGAACCATTTTTAGTGGGAGTATTAGCTTGTAGCTCAGTCTCCTGCACCCCAATTCATGGTAGTTTTATTGAACATTCTTCTGTGATGCTGTTTAGTGAAAAAATTTACCATAAACTTTCCAGACCTTTGTGTATCATGAAGTCTGTGACAGTTCCCACTATGGCAGACGTTCTCAGAAGGGGTATTGTTGTCATTGCAATCTATACTAACTGAGGTGTTTTTCCTATCCAGGCAGCCCTGTGCGCTGTTCATGTCATCAGAAAGGTGCCTGAACTCATGGAGATGTTCCTGCCAGCCACCAAAAACTTGCTGAATGAGAAGAACCATGGTAATAGCTGAGAGAGTACTTAGGAAGGCTAGACCATTCTCTACAGGATAGTGCACTCGCTACCTAAGCCTTTAGTTTGGAGGGAACTTTTGAGGTCTATTTGCATGATTTGTTTCTTCCCATTTCTATGCAATGAAAACAAATGTCATTCAGAAGGAAGGGATGTGTAGGATTCTGCTAGTCAGCAGGACTTTTACATGGCATAGGTGACAAAAGGAACTCTCTCGCTGTGTTTTGATACACTTCAGAGTAGTGGGTGAAATGGGAAAGTTTGGGATTTTTATCCAATACATTGCTTAAAGTGACTCTAAAGTGCAGTTTTTAGGTTTGGTTGTTTTTTTTTTTTTGTGTAGTCTTTCTCTAGATGGAGTTCTGAGACTGTCTGAGGAATGCCCAGTCCAGGTCACATAAGGTCAGCTAGGCTACCTAAATCAGAAGAGAAAATCAGGAAGTATGAAAAACCCAACATCCACAATGCCATTGACACATATTGTCCTTCTGGAGTCTTTTGTTTGTACAGAATTGTAGAGTGGTAGGATTTAGAAGGGTCCTTAGGGGTCACATAGCCCAACTATGTCTGTTACTGTATGTTTAGTTTATGGAAATTTCTGCAGAGCAAGTCCAATTTCCCTCCTCCTTTGGCCTTTAGTTACAGATCTAAGACATGAGCACATTGCTATCTGCCTCCCCTTGGGCACAGCTGCAGTCACAAATACCTGTAGTGGTAGATACGTTGAATTCAAGAATACTATTTTTTTAATGATTTCCTGTTGTTTTCTTATGATCTTTGTCACGTGTCTGGAGCCAATGGAGTTATGTTAAATGTAGATACGTTTTTCTTTTCCCCACCTCACGTTTAGGCGTTCTTCACACATCAGTTGTCCTTCTCACAGAGATGTGTGAGAGAAGCCCAGACATGCTTGCACACTTTAGAAAGGTAAGTGTGAACTGGTAATATTGCAGAATTAATATTCATGGCCTTTTAATAAAATCCTTACAAGTCTTTGGGTGTAGACTTTAATGATACTGTCTGCTTGTTATCTAAATTTTTTTAAAAAGGTATTAAATGTGTGAATCTTGTGTGTATCTAGCCTAATCTCCTTCAGTAAGTTGGGTAAATTACAGAACATCAGTCTTAAGATTGTGCAGTATAAAACATCCTAAAGTTAGATTTGAAGTGTTGCCTTTGATGGTCCCTTAGGGTTTTTTCCAGTCTTTGTATCTAATTGCATAGTGACACTATAATCACAAATGTAACAAACATAAAGAGACAAAGATGAAGAACCAAAGCTTATGCATTTTCCCTTGCCCTGATTGCATATATCAAAGCAGGAATGAAACTCGGATGAGGTTCATTTTGCAGGTACCATCTCTGCTACTAATGCTCAGTTAAGATGATAGATATGGGAAAAGAAGGAAGAGCTGAGTCCACAAAATTTAGTTACTAGGTACATTGTTTCTAGCTATTTCTTGTGGTTGTTTATGCTGTGAATGGTGCAACACTGACCTGTGCCTAATGCTCGCTTTGTCTGTTTTGTCCCTTTTGTCTGTTTGGAATCCTGCTGAGTTAGAATGAAAAGGTAAGAGTTAATTTTTCTAGATGGTGCATGTTTGCCTTGAATCTGTAGATGTTTGTCCCTTGTGAGGCAGTGCCTGTTAATGACACGTTTGTGATTGATGCTGCATGCTTAGATCAACTGTACTTGTCTAAGGCTCTTTGTATGCTGATCTTGTCACTTAAACCTCTAGGCCCATGGCAGCCCTGAATCTCAGTTGTGGCCTTCTCCAATCATCAGCCTGTTTTCCTCGCTCTCTCTCATTTGAGGAATACTTCAGGGAATTTTTTTGTACCTGTACAAGCTGTAGCCCTGGACCTTCTTCGTTTCACAAACTTGGCTTTGTGTTTTGCCTGAATCATGGGGCAACCTTGGGTGATTCCCAAAAGGGAGCAGGACAGACAGGTGTTTAGCTGCCTCTAGGAGGCTGTAAAGCCTTACTGTGCTAAAAAGAGCTACCAAGTCCAGCTGCAGTGCTGATATTCTTCATGGGTATAATTTGTACTCCAGAAGAAAGGGGGGCAACCCTCAACTGATCTCCAGGGCTGTAATGTTTCTCTCTGTTTGTCCTCAGTCCTGATAACTCTTGCATGTTGGAAGGCAAAGAAAATGTTCATCAGGGTTCTAGAAATGCTCTGCTTGTCTTTGTCTTGAGGGAAAATGTTGCAGCACCTTTTGATTTCCTCTTTAAGGCAGATATAGGAAATTCAGGGTTGCCTTTGTTTGTGTGTTTAGTTAAATGCATGTTTTCAGAGTAGTATATATGTCCTGAAGAGCAAAGGTAGGAACAAAAAGAGACGATGGGGAATCTCAGCTGGTTTCCTTCTTGCACTGTACCACAAGTGTAGATTTAGTACTTTAAAGATACAATATGGTGCTCCAGTCCCAGCTTAACTGTATCTAGTTGTGCCTTAGCTAAGCTGTAAGTATTCATATAGCATCAGCTCTAGCTGTGCAGGTTGAACTTTGTGGAAGAATTCAGACTGACTTGCTTTCAAATACAAGATTTGTTCTTGGACCTGTGCTTCAGAGCTGGGATTGGGGAAAGAACAACACTCTAATAGAACAACTCTCTTCTTCACAGCTTGTTCCCCAATTAGTTCGTATTCTGAAGAACCTTATCATGTCTGGATATTCACCAGAGCATGATGTGTCTGGGATCAGTGACCCCTTTTTGCAGGTAAGAACTGATGCAAAGTGACTGATAGCTTTAATTCTAGTACTGTGTTTTGAGCCTTAGGTGTGATGAGGTGGCGATCTCAGGGCAGCTGTGTTGATTTTAAGATTTTTGTGACTTCATTAGAGCTGATTGTGAAAATGCTCTTCATCTGCCCTAGTGAAAGACACCTGCCTTAGTTTAACCAGCAGTTGTAGTGCCTTACCCCACCCACGTCATGTGACAGAAGAGAGAAGCAGCAGCATGTGTTGGTCTCGCAAGGCTGTGCCTGGTAGTGAGGGGGCTCTGAACGGTTCTGGCTAGTGGGAAGAAAATGAGCACAACATAAGCATGTTCTTATTGATAAAGGTCTTACTCAGGATAAGCATTTTGCTTAAGAATGGAAATCAGCAGCTTGTTTTGCTTCTTCGCCACTCCTCGTAAAGTATACTGGGCATTTCATGACCCATGTCAAGCACTGCCATCCAATGAGCTTTTCTTTCCTTTATTTTGTCAAATAGGTACGAATCCTGCGGTTACTAAGAATTTTAGGGAGAAATGATGATGATTCTAGTGAAGCAATGAATGATATACTTGCACAGGTGAGGTCTGAAAGGTTGATGAGTGGTTTAAACTCTCTCTTGGTTTTTTAATAATTTGGATTCAGCAGCTCTGGGGAGGATACAGCTGCTTGTCATGGTGGGTGGAATTTTGCTGAAAGAGATGCGTGTTCACAAATGTGATGCTGTTTGCTAGGGATTAGTTACTTTCACTGCTTGTTCTGCACAACAGCACAAAGGGGAACTGGTTTGCTTGTGCTGGAGTTGCTTATTTTGTTTCCTTTCTTCAGGTTGCCACTAACACAGAAACAAGTAAAAATGTGGGAAATGCCATTCTATATGAAACTGTGCTGACTATTATGGACATAAAATCTGAGAGTGGCCTGAGAGTAAGTTGCCTTTGCTATGGCCTGTGTTTTTTTCCTAGGATTGTGTGTTAGAGTAATTTGTTTGGAGGGCATGAAGCAAGGTTGTTTCACCCAAACACAGCTCTGCAGTTGACTCTAGATAAGACTGTAGCCTTTTCAGAAAGTGGTGTTTGTTTTTGGTTTTGGGGTTTTTTAATAACAAAAATTAAAAAGCAGAACTTTTTGCAGACTGTGTTTCCTTGAGTGCAGGTGAGAGCCTGTGCTCGTGTTTCTTAGCTTCTCCTCTGCTTAGGCAGCTCTTGGAGTTCTTTTTGGCTAAGAACCACAATGGTAGTTTCGACATCTTGCCTTTAAGATCACCATGAGATGATGAAGATGACCAGCAGCCTTTTTAGATCACTGACCTTCCCTAATTCTTTCTGCAGGTCTTAGCCATTAACATTCTAGGCCGTTTCTTATTAAACAACGACAAAAATATTAGGTAAGTTGTACAAAGCATGTTTTGACAACACCCAGTTTAAAATGTGTGAGAAGCAATTACATAAAGATGATGCTGAGGTGGAGCTTTCCAGGAGACCCTGTTGGGATCACTGCTGTTGGGATTAGTGTGGCTGTCGAGCTTGCTGCTTTCTTGATGCATTATTTTTCTCTGCAAACTGTGGCCCTGCCCTTCTTAGTTGATAAGCCTGGGTATATGATCTAATTCTTAACTTGTGGTTTTTAATCAGGTCCACCTTTTTTTCCAATAACCCATGAATCCCCTGTGTTGTCCCAAGTAGTCTGTGGTGCAATTCAAATCGGAGATGGCATTGGAGATCTGACAAATTAGGCAAAGACTGTGTGCTGGTGGAAACAAGGGAGTTCAGTTGCGCTTTGGTCACTCTTAACCTGGACATGGAATTGCTGTAACTGCTAGAATTGAGTCCCGTCTCTACAGGCAGTTGGATATGGCAAATCATGATATGGGTCGCAGACTTCGGCCGTGGGAATTGTGACTCGTGCTAGTTTGTGTGTAAGATCCATGGATGTCTAATCTTTAATTGCCCTATTTTTCAAAATCTTTTTGAAGGCTGGACAGCTGATCTGAGCCCAGGAACTGGGGCAGGTGCTTGTCTAGGCAGTGGGGTGTTGTTAGGCACGTTACAGCTTAGTGTGGTAACTCACCTGTGAAGACAGGCCAGGCAGTCCCCTGGAGGATTTCCATTTGTTACTGAGTACAAGAGAATCCTGTTCTGTTGGAAAATAAGACCAAGTTTGGGGCAGGGGCAGTGTCTGTGCACAGAAATCAAATGGCTGCTGTCACACTGATGACTGTGTGTCCTTGTCGCAGATATGTAGCTCTGACGTCGTTGTTGAAAACGGTGCAGACAGACCATAATGCAGTACAGCGGCACAGAAGCACCATTGTGGACTGCCTGAAGGATCTGGATGTCTCCATTAAAAGGTAATCGAAGTCTCAGTGAAATAGACTCTCTAGGTTGACAGGCTATGGAAGGGGAGCAGGGCATAGGGGAAAATGATAATCCTGGGGAACCGTTAGTGAGATGAGTGTGAAGATATGGTATGGTTTGTAATTCAAAGAGGGTAATGAAGGTGTTTCCTTCTTTGGAAAGCTGCTGTTACATTTCATGGGGAAAAAAAATTTTTGTTTGCCTGAATTTTTCCAAAATGGAATCTCATTGGAGATCAGACTTGTGTGCTCTCAGTGAGATGGAAAGCCTCTGTACAGTATGATCCTGATCAAATCTACTCTGATGTGTTCCACCTTGTTTTTCTTTCCCAGATGAACAGGCAGTGCCATGTTGTCATGAAACAGTGTTAAGTCATCCAAATAATGTATTCTAGATTAAATGGATTAGGCAGTGGTAGAATTGAGACTAAACTTGATTGTTCAAACAATTTGCTTACAAACTGCTTACTGTTATCTTATCCTTTTATCGTTCTTTGTGTTCATTTGTCATTTAAATAGTGGTATGTTGCTGCTTCTCTGGCCAATGGGAAAGCTTGCTATCATACTTCTCGCTACAGAAATACTTTTTGTCATATACTCAGTCTTAGCTTCTTCCTCTGTTTCTTCACCCAGAGGGTGGTTGGGCACTGGAACAGGCTCCCCAGGACAGTGATCACAGCACCAAGCCTGACAGAGATCAAGGAGCATTTGGATGATACTCTCAGGCATATGGTGTAACTCTTGGGGATGGTCCTATGCAGGGCCAGGAGCTGGACTTGATGATCCTTGTGGGTCCTTTCCAACTCAGCATATTCTGTAATTCTGTGATTCTCATTACTTCAGTTATGTTCCTTTTACTCATAATAGTACCTTTCTTCTGTTTCTGTCAGTCACTCATAGAAACTTTTACCCTGCCTGTGTGGAATGCTGCTCTTCTAAATTGAGTCTTTCAGCCTGTCAATTCCTAGTTCTTTCTTTCAGAACTTTCTTCCTTATCATTATTCTTTCTGTAACTGGGTTACAAAGAGGGGTCTGAGCTCAGTACAGCATACAACATGCAGTGATGGGGACACTGGCACCCTTGTTGCATTTGTGGAATCTCTGCTACAGGCCAAAATTTCATTAAGCTTTCATCACATCATATACCTTCAAAATATACCTTAAAAATTGCTCAACCTCTCTTTTCCATCTACTCAGACTGATCAGATACCCTATAGATACTTGTTCTTACAGGCATTCTTCAAATTTATGCCCATCTTTGAATAAGATCTAGATTTTTTTAAAAATCTACTCAGTCTAATAGGTAAAGAATAGGGAAGAAGGTGGATTTGTCTTGCTTCTGAAACTTAGTTTAAACTGTTATGTAACGGGTATCATGTAATCTATTTTTACAGTTGCAATCTATGCCAAAACACAAATTTGTATCTTAAATGCTGAGCGAGCCTGGCTGCTGTTGCTGTTTGGTACCAGACTCAGTAGAGGGCTAGGCTGTAGAACAGCAAAGCCCCATTAAAGTTTTGAATAGAAGGCAACAAAACCATTTTATTGATGCCTGCTAGGAAAATACTACTGAGCTTCATGTCTGAGTGCTGTTGGAGGATGAAGCCTTTGAGTGATCCATCAGCAGAGCACGATGTTGCCATGCTGACACTTGTGCTGCTGACAATGCACTTCTTCATTGAAGCAATATGTTGACTGCATGTGTGTCAGAGTCCCCAGGTAGCAAGTTCCAAGGGCTGGGACTTGAGGGAAAGACATGATACCTGATTTTGGTTATCTGAAGCATGGTGTCTTCTCATCATGTAACTGTTGCAGTGTGTCTTTGGTCCATGTAGTATAATTCAGAATAGCTTTGCTATTTAATTCAAGTCTTTTTGTCTGCTTAATATGATCAAACTACATGATTAAGAGCTTCATGACAGAAATGAAACATGTAATATGACTGAAGGTAAGAAATACATGCTGAGGTAAATGCCTGGTACTAAGATTACCGTCTACTCCTGTGCACTTGCAGTGTTGCTATATCTGCTATAATGTGACTGAAAATTTAAACATAAATATGTAACCCAGTATGGTCAGGTGCAAGGAGTTGGGAACCAGTTGGAGGGATGGAAGTAATTCTAATAATGGTCTAGGTCATCAACTAGACACATGTTTAAATGTTAAAAGGTAACAATTTAGTTAAATATTTCCACCCTAAGTCTGAACACCTCTGTGTTTTCTCAGTCCCTGAGTATTAGTTGGGTAAAAGGCAAAGTAACACATTTACAATTCACCATTCTGTAGAAATCCTTATTACAGTAATAACTAGGAAGATGTTGAGAAGCAGTGCTGTCTAGATGTTCTCAGATTCTTGAGAACAAATAACTTGTGTCCAATACCATTTTAAAGATCAGACAGGATTGTTTAGTGAGCCTGCTTTAATGCATTTTAATTTAACTATTGCAAAGTTGTGCAGAAATTAATCTACTTTTGAAGGTAGTAGTCTTCATTCAAAAAATGTCAGAAGAATGAGAGACCTGTGCTAGAATCAACTACAGAAGCTTCAAGTAGAAAGGCCAAGGAATAGCCTCTGAGCTCTGGATGTGCACCAGAAGGAACAGCAGGGAACTGGTACTCTTGACTCGTTGTGGTGTCAGCCTGTCTGTAGGAGGAGGAATGAATGGAGCACCAGCGTAGCTTTGGGTTCTAGAAATCTTACATAGTCTATCCAACAGTGTACAGTGAAGCTTATCAATGAATACTTTAAATCTCTACTGTATATGAATCTCTAATATATGGATTGGAAACAGGTCTCTTCTGGATCCCTAAATCTGGAGTAAGCATGTTATAACGTGGATTAGTTGTTGCACTTGTGTGTCAGAAGTGACCAGCAAGTGATTACAAACACTTGGACAGTCAGAGTTTAATGCTGATGGACTCTGGTTGCTGAAAGATATTGCCAGCCTTAAGGACACATGGATAGATGTTTCTAGAACACTCCGCACCCTCGCTCCCCCTTAGTTTTTTGGAGGGTGGGTGTTTATTGTCTGCCTATGAACAGGAAAATACTGGCACATTTAGTGTGAAAGGCTATTCCCACAGAATTAATAAATATTGCTCTCTTCTTAATTAAAAGGCAACTTTGTTTTTGTAGCTGGACTTGTGGTTTGTGGGGTTTTTTCTTCCTTCACTAGGTGAAGATACTTGATTGGTTTTCTGTCTCTTGCCCTAGGCGTGCAATGGAACTGAGTTTTGCTCTTGTTAATGGGAACAATGTCCGTGGAATGATGAAGGAGTTGCTGTATTTTCTAGATTCCTGTGAGCCAGAGTTCAAAGCAGACTGTGCATCTGGAATATTTCTTGCAGCTGAAAAGTATGGAGTCATTTTACTTGCTATTAATTTTTGGTACATCCTCAGAATTGTGAGCATCTTGTATATTGTTCCTTCCCTTCCCCACTCCCCAAGAGAGAATGTGTTGATCATTTCTTCTCCGTTTGATCTGTGGGTGGTTTATCAGTTGTAGCCCACTCTGAGGAACAGGATACACTAGTGTTGGTGTCCCCCCTCAGGAAGCAGTGGGCCAAGAAATAACTGAGGGGAGATGTTCTGATGATGATGAGTTTCTTGCTGGTGTTGAAGGCTGGCAATTATTGCTCCAACTTGTTTTCTTAATTTTGTCAGATATGCTCCTTCCAAACGCTGGCACATAGACACGATTATGAGAGTCTTAACAACGGTAAGTGAAATTGCCTCTCTACATAAAATTTTCTTAATTCTTTAGGAAGTTACTCTTCATCAAGTTGGAGATGGCTGTAAAGGCTGGCGGATAATAAACACAGAGGAAGTGCACTTATGATAGTGACCCAAGGCAGCCAGTCAGAAATATGTAAACTCAGTAAATATGGCTGAGTGGTTTTTTAGAGGAAATGTATGATTTCAGAAACACACAAGAATAAGAGTGTGTAGCAGAGGATTTCTACTGCAGTAGTCACATTAGCTTCTAAGTTAGGACAGGTCTTGTCCTGTCTGATTCCAGTATATAGTACTTTCAGAGGAGAGTGAACACAGCCTTAAGTGACTTGCAAAGAGGAAGGGGGTGAAGCACTTTCTTGGAATTATTCTGAGTTTATCAAAGCTTATTAATGAAACTTCAGTTCCTCCTCTTTGTGTTTAATTATTACTCTTTACCTACTTTATTTATAAACATCATAGCTGAGGTGGAACTGGAGTATTGTTTTGGCAAACGAGGGAAGAGATCTTGATAGCTTGGGTAAGACAGTGTGTTTCCTCAGGCAAAGGAGTGGGAAGAGATTTATCAGTATTTGTGTTCAAATTTGAGAAGCTCATCAAGAAGGGAGTCTGGCTTGTGTGCTGTTTTGCCACCCTGAAACAGAGAAAAGTAGATTCCTCTGAACTGAGAATCGATTTCCATTAGAAGGTCGGCTGTGAGAATTGCTCTCAGATGACCTCATTCAATAAAGTAACTTCCTTTTCTTGACTGCTAGAGAAACCTTGTATTATAACCTCTTGCAATTTCAGGGTATCTATAGTATGGATTTCTCTGGGTACAGTTTTGTTCATTGGCAAATATGCTGTCCTGTACTTCTGCCTCTCTGAGCCTGCTCAAAATCAACCATAAAGTGCTCACAGATCAGAAGGCTGATTTTTATTTCCATGCACATCAGGTGGTTTTGTGAAAGGTAGCAGCAGCTGCTGGGTGTTACTGAGAAGGTGGATAGTAAAACCTAACAATTGTTCTTGCAGGCAGGAAGTTATGTTCGTGACGATGCTGTTCCCAATCTGATCCAGCTAATAACCAATAGTGTGGAGATGCATGCCTACACTGTGCAGAGACTCTACAAAGCCATCCTTGGAGATTACTCTCAGGTAAAACCAAACACGGCCAGCTTCATTTTCCTTGTTGTACTGCAATAAATATGCATTTTTACTAAGCATCTCAAGGTAAGCCAACACCACTCTGTCTGGCTCCAAGGGACAGATTGCAGAGAAGGCATGTTTTCTATAAGTTCACATTTTTAGTTTCTTCAGTTCTCTTACAGAATTCTTGATCAAATCAAACATTCCTCTTTTTTCTGCTGTGGAGAACTTCCTTCATTGGGAGGAAGACTAAGCTTGCTCTTGGAAATGAAGGTGGTTTAATTTATCATACAGGCATCCATTTATCTCTGAGGTTTCTCTGGTTTTTCTTCCAACAGCAACCCCTGGTGCAAGTGGCCTCCTGGTGCATAGGAGAGTATGGAGATCTTCTGGTGTCCGGTCAGTGTGAAGAGGAGGAACCAATACAGGTATAGCTTGGGAAAGAACAGCAGTGGTATCCCTGGCTGAGGCTGGAGCTGCTTGGTGCTGGCTATGTGAGGGGAATGCTTGCAACAATTCCTTAGCATTAATGTCTGTGATGGTGATGGACTCTGGGCAGGAATCTCCTTCCCCTGCTGCAGGCATGGACTGTGTAAACACTGGCTGTGTGGAGTGCCGCTGCAGTTGGCAGAATGGTGTGGTTTCAGTGCTAACCTGCCTTGCAAGGATTCTGCCAGTGTCTTAGCTGTCCATTTTGGTGATAAACCTGCCCTTATATGTGTGGAACAGGAACTGTATTTTAAAATTTGTACCATGAGATCTCCACCTGGATGCATCTGTCTCACACGCTTTGAACATAACGCTACGGGCTCAGAGTTGCAGAGGAGGTGTGACATGGCCATTAAGCAAGAGACAGGTTTTTACAGTATGCTCTGGCAGGCTTGCTGCAAAGCTCCTCTCTGTCTCAGCCTAACCTCTCTGTACCTTTTCAGGTAACAGAGGATGAAGTTCTTGATATTTTAGAAAGCGTCCTGATATCTAATATGTCTGCATCTGTGACACGAGGCTATGCTCTCACTGCCATCATGAAGCTTTCCACAAGGTTCACCTGCACTGTCAAGTGAGTTCTCATTGGTGGTGTACTGCACAGGGCTTTGTTGCAAATATGCTGGCATCAGTTGTCTTCAGTAGGAGTATTCCTTGAATATGTTCTGCTTCCATGGGTTACAAGAGTCATCCTGTTACTTGTTGGCTTTTAGAGTCCTCCTTTGCTCACTGAATGGAAGATGTCTGCTGTTTGTACTGTTTTCTCTATGGATGTCCTCTACTATATGGGACTTAATCCATGTTGCCATTTCTTGAAAACTCCTTATGGGAAAGAGAAGTCCTTACTTTCAGTGGGCTGTTCTTTCCAGTTCCTTTTTCAGATGATGGGGAGATGTTTCGGATGATGTTTCGGATGATGTTTCCTCTTGGAGGCTCCTTGGTGTGGGTAGTTGAGCTTTTTTATGCTGTACCTTAAGGTGGTGTGTTAATCACCTGCTGATGATGTTGTGAGAGGACAGTTCAGATACAGATATTGCATGGATACTGCAGGGACTGCTGTGTTACATGAGTTACAGGGGACTTGTGTTGAGCAGAGGCCAAGTAGCATCTTCAGGATGACACATGCTAATCCCTCGGTTATTGCTGATAATTCCGTGGTGTGTTTGTTTGTTCCCCCTGCCCCAACAGTCGCATTAAGAAGGTAGTCTCCATCTACGGCAGCAGCATCGATGTGGAGCTGCAGCAGAGAGCCGTGGAGTATAATGCACTTTTCAAGAAATATGATCACATGAGGTAAGTACTGATGAGTTTTGGTGTTTGAAAAGGGTCATTATAATGTGTGCTGATCTCCTGTTGATGACACTCCGGGCTTTGAGAGCTTTGTCTGGTGATTTTGGTAGGTTTACAGGGGAACTAGAATCCCTTCCCCATCTATAGGGTTAGTGAGTGTTTTAAGGACTTAATGTACCCTGCGATATTGTTCTGTGATCAGAGACTTTCTCTGCCAAAACATTTGTCCTGCTTTGAGCCTGAGCTTGACCGATTTTTACTTCTCGGTGTTGAATCTTAAGTGGTTAACCCTTCTGCAAAGATAACTCAGATGAGCTAACTCTGACTCACCTGCATATGGGACAGAGCAGTCAAGTGGCCCAGGTCTGCAGCTAATCCACCATTGCTCAGTTATGTAATTTTTATCTTGGATTTGTTATCCTAGCCCCATAGTGGAAACTGTCTCAGGTGCTGGGGGAAAACCTGAGACAGGAGGGCTCCTTTGGTTTTTAGCTGTCAGCTAATGTATTTACAGTGGCACAGAATGCCAGGGATTGCTTCTGACCACCTCAAGCTGTCATGCAATCTTACTGTTCCCCTGCATTGGAGCTCAAAAGAAAAGGCAGGTTGCCCTGTGTAAATCATCTCTTGAATGTTTAAGTATTTGGATTGGGATCCAGGAAGATGGCACAGTGTAACTATGTCAGCTTCTTTCAGGCCAGCACTGCTTGAGAGAATGCCAGTAATGGAGAAAGTCACCACAAATGGCCCTACTGAGATTGTACAGACCAACGGAGAGACAGAGCCAGCGGTACTGGAAACCAAACCTCCACCCTCTGGATTGCAGCCTGCCAGCCAGGTAACTGAAAGTGACTTGGGATGAGCTTCCACTACATGTCAGATCACGCTCTAGCCACTGCCAACAGTAAACTGAAACCATCTCCCTCCCCCTCTCTGCCTCTTTGCTAGTTCTGACTGGTGGTGATAGATCATGGCTCTGCTCTGATGGCTCTAGTGTCCAGAACAGGTGTGTCGAACAGGTCATTGTGGGCCTCCCAGGAGAGGGTTGGATTAGCTCTGTTGGTTATGGTGCTAATAATGCCAAGGCCGTGGGTCTGATCCCAGTATGGGCCATTCATTCCAGAGTTGGACTCGATGATCCTTGTGGGTCCCTTCCAACTCAGGATGTTCTGTGATTCCCCAGCCTGTCTCCATGTGCACGAGCTCTTTCCTCCTCTAGCTCTGTGGTCCCATGAGCATGGAAACAAGATCTCTTTTGGGGTGTGGGATCACAGTGAAACTAAGAACCCCTGTGACTGGCCAGCAGCTCTGTTGGTCTTCAGTTTGAGAACAAGTAGAATCCACTGCACTAAAAGACAAAGTAGCAGAAAGTTGAATATATGTAACTATTACATCCTCTCTCTCATTAGGCAAATGATTTATTGGACTTATTGGGTGGAAGTGATATAACACCTGTAATCCCCACTGCACCTACAAGCAAGCCAGCCTCTGCTGGTGGGGAGCTCCTTGACCTCCTGGGAGACCTCAACCTAACAGGTGAGCAGGCTGCGTTTCTTAGAAGTCCACATTCTCAATGCCAGGGTGCGATGAGAGGGAACTAGTTCTTCATTGTCTTTTAAGTCCTAGTTTTCACACTTATTCTTACCAAGATCCATATTAGCATACAGGTGGGAGTTGGGGAGTGAAGTCCCAGGTTGACTCTGCATGATTAGCTGGTGAGACTTGAGCATTTCTGCACTTCAGTCTGGGAATACTGTGAGCCTTTCCCGGAGAGGACTGGGAGATGTGAAGAATTAATTCCATTTGAATGCCTGCTAGCTCAAGAGGAGCTGGTTCTTGAAAGCAAAGAAGGGGAGGATGACAACACAGATTTTTTTGTAGAGCTTCAAGAAGTACAATATGCAGTGGTCAGTCTTTGGTGAAGAAGTAATTATTCTTCATTTCATGACAGCTGAGTAATAATCATTCAATGTTTTTTGTAGGTTCTCCAGTATCTGCCCCTGCACCCCAGATAGCACAGCCTCCATTCCTGCTTGATGGACTCACATCACAGCCTCTCTTCAATGATATTGCTGCAGGTTAGGGACATATAAATCCTTTGCCCTGAAGTGCCTCAGCACTCAACTAGAAGAGGAAACAAGGGATAGTAAAAAAAAAAAAAGGGGGGAGGGGATTTGAAAATGTGGCATAGACACTGGAGTAGAAGGGGCTGTGTTTAATCTTCAGAAGAGTTCATGTCTGGGGTAAATTAAATGCATGCTATGATGTTGAAATGATCTCCAGATTCTGTAGGTCTGCTGCTTTTTTGTTTTGTACAGGAATCCCCTCCATTACTGCATACAACAAGAACGGGCTGAAGATTGACTTCACCTTTGAGAGGTCGAACACGAACCCCAGTGTCACTGTAATCACAATACAGGCCTCCAACAGCACAGAGCTGGATATGACAGATTTTGTTTTCCAAGCTGCAGTACCAAAGGTAGAGCCACTTAGGGCAACTACAGTGAGAGGTAGAGGGCCAGCTGCAAACACTCCCTGGGCGGTGCTTTCATGTAGACAGAAACTCGCAAGGTAAACAAGGCTGAGAGCTGTTAAAAGGATTTCTTAGTGCTCGGTTTGGTCATCTCTTTCTAGTCTGAAAGTAAATGTTGTAAATGCAATAGAACACAGGTTCCTATCAGATTGGACTACTTTTGCTTGGACAAAATAGTGTTTTAAAATCATCACTTTCTAGGAAAGTTGCTAAACTGCACGCAAAAAAATGTTGAGTCAAAAAACATATTTTGGAGATGCTAATCATTCCCTTTAATCTTATTTTCTAAGAAATATATCATGTTCCTCGCAGCTATGAATACATGAAAGAGAAACTCTTCAAAGTTATTAGCTGCTTATAAAATTTGAATGAGTCACCATATGGTGATTAGTGGCAGTCCTCATTTAAAGGAGTGAATTCTTCCCTTGCACTCAGCTGCAGCACAAAATATGGGAGTCGGATATTGCCTAGTTTATAGTAGAGCAGACTGCTGAAGCAGGATGTGACTGGAATGCTCTCCAAATTTGGGAAAATACATTTACTTCTGAGAGTTTCACTTCTGGGAATTAGTATTCCCCTACCTTGGATTCAGGTTGGTTTCATACCTGCCATAGGAAGGTATTAGGAAAGAATGGGCCTCCTGAAGTTCTAATTTTCCTTGCTTTCTCCCAGTGCAAACAAGTCATTTTATGTTCTTACTTGATTAAGCACCAAATTTTCTCTTTGCTTTTCTTCAGACATTCCAGCTGCAGCTCCTGTCTCCCAGCAGCAGTGTCATCCCTGCATTTAACTCGGGGACCATCACACAGGTCATTAAAGTCCTGAATCCACAGAAGGTGAGTGATTCCAAGAAGAATTATTAAAGATACTGTCTTGGAATTGTTCATTTAGTGGCAGTCAGTTAGGGATTCATCTGTGATGAGAGGTAGGGAGTGATGGTAGTGAATGATGTGTTTTTCATGATGGTCATTTTGGTTAGGGTTAGGAAAAGGTTATGAAAAATAGAGTTTTGGGAAAAAAAGGAGGTTCTGACCTTCTATTTGGTTATACTGCTAAAACAGATTCACAGCTTTGCTATCTTGATTCATTCAAGTCTTACATTGGAGTGGTTGTGAAGTTTTCAGGTGACCTTTCCAGAGGAGCTCAGCCTAGTATTTATATGGGTGGTAAAAGTGGTGTCTGGAAAGCAAGCATCTTGCCATATGAAGATATTCAACATTTGTTCTTGCTATCTGCAGCAACATTACTTGAAATGTTTGCTACACAAAGAGTAGCTTGATACATATTCTTAACAAAATTGTCTGTTTTCTCAAGTGGTGTCATTTGTTTTTAATGTGATGAGCGTAGTTTTAAACAGTTGATTGAAAGAATCTTTAGGTGTGATGTAATCATAATTCCATTTGTTTTATAGCCTTCAGAGACAGGCTTCAAGACTGGAATATAACAGATTTGAGGGGAGGGAGGGAGGGATGTCCTCCTTAAGAGGCTTTGCAAGTGCTCAGATGTCATCAGAAAGAAAAATAAAATTGAGATCACATGTTTCTTCTTTTGAGGGACAACCTTAAGATCTTAAACGACTCTAAGAACTTAAAACATCTGACGTTTTTCATAGAAGTATGTCATGTTCTTTGCAAGTTAATACTTGCGTACTGCTCTAGATGTAAAGTATTGCTGCTAGACTGAAGTGCAAGTGAGAACACAATCACAAATTTCAGCCCAAGATTTCACTGAATGGCAGTCTTCTAGTGCATAGCTTTTGTGGATTCCATGCATCTCCCCTTATTTCCATGTAGTCTGCTCACCTCTGCCTATATTCAGCCACAAGGCTAATTATTCTCTGTCTTGTATACATCTGGTAGGAGTTTCTCTGTGGTGCCACAGAGCACCTTTCAAAGATCACCGTGAAAGTTATTTTCTGAACTTTGGAGGATTTAGGAGTTTTCCTGTGATGTGCCAGAAGTCACAGTATGGCCCCCTCAGATGGTACCCCCAAGGTGAAATACAGCTGGGTAGTGGCATGTTTCCTTGTTGGAACACCACAGCTCCCAGGAACACTTGAGAGTACAGAAGTGCAAAACAGTGTCCATTGAAACTGGATTGAAACTGATGGCAAGTTTTCCAAAACAACACCAAATAAACAAAAAACTGACACTGATGATGTTGATTTATTAGTGATAAAGCATAACTTCTTTATCCTGAGTCTGGTTGGAGCAGTCCTTGTCCTCCTTTCCTCCCTCTGCTATCCCTTTTGCATATTTATGTGTAGGTATGGAGAAAAGAGACAGAAATGGTTGAATTTTTGCTTTTCTTCTTAGAGTTTTTTGAGAGTGAGGAGAATAGGGAACTTGACTGGAGCATGCTGTGTTTTAGGGCCACTTAGTATCTGGGTGACAGCCAAATGACAGCGTAAAGCAGCTTCTGAGCTATTCCATCATTTACTCCCAGCAGAAGGCTTGGAGGCTCTTGTTTCCAGTCTTTCATAAGCTATTTCCTTCACAGTGCTGCTGAGCTGTGCAGTACTTGAAGTTTCCAGACTGCTGTGTTGAGTGGACAGCCAGTTTGGGAAATGCCATCTTTCCCTCCAAGCCCAAGTGCAGAGCAGTGGAGTACGGACCTGCCTCCTGCTTTCTTCTATTGTTAACTGGAATTTTAAGTTACTTTTGTATTTAAGGACCTCAGTGCTTGCAAGAGCAGGGCCAGTGCAGAGAGATGTAGGTAGAAGCTGTGCTATAGCTTTTCTAAGAGCTCGTCCCTGATCTGACAACTAGTGACCAATCAATGTCCTACCAGATTGAGCATTTATCTGCAGTGTCATGGCTCACCCTGCACATCCTTCCAGCAAGCTCTTGCAGTCAGGAAAGGTCTGTGTTGAGTATTCATGGGCTAGGGGAGGGGAAATGAACGTTGTGTGATTCGCTGACCTTTAAGGAAGACCTGAATTTGTTTTGTGTGTGTGTTTGTTTCTCCCTTTTCTCTTGTAGCAACAACTACGTATGCGGATCAAGTTGACGTATAATCACAAGGGCTCAGCAATGCAGGATTTAGCAGAAGTCAACAACTTCCCCCCTCAGTCTTGGCAGTGAGGCTCTGGCACCATTCTTATTCTCATCCCACCCAATCAAAAGAACTCTGGGAAGAAGGTTGTGATCCTTGGCAATCCCCCAAACTGCACCATGGGCATGGGGAACAGATGAGACCTGCTGATGAGGAGGAATTTTCCTGAAGTGATTGCTGACTTTGAAGCATATCTGTTAAGACTAATCTCCTCTCCTCCGCTGATGAGGCTGGTGGCTTGTGGACGCTACTGTGCACTCCCTCACACATGCATTCACAGCCAGAAGCAACATTCCCTTCTCCCCTTCCCCCGCCTTCCCCTGGCCCCTCAAAAAGAAACACAGCCTGGTTGGAAGAGAAGTCTGGAATTTCTAGCAGGGAAACTTTCTTCTCTCTGCAGCAAGTGAGCAGTTGCCCCTTCTTTCTGCTGTCTTTTTTCCCTGGGATGGGCAAGGCGTGTCATCATTCATTTCTAGCTGGATTTCTCCAGGCATTTTCATCTGGGACTCAGATGGGGACTTGGGGAATGTCAGGCTGCCTTGCCTCTTTCTTCTTGTATCCCATAGGTCTGAAGGGGCTGGAGGCTTCTTATGACCTACTCAGTGCATTATTGTATACACCCACCTCTTAGTTATGTGATGGCATACGAAGAGCAAGTGAGGCCTTGGGAGTTCATCTGCAAACCTGGGACAGTGCAGGAAAAGAGGTGCTGGCAAGAGCTGGTAAAATTGCGTTTGGTGCTGTACTTGGAAATGAAGACCTTACACTTGAATTTTCTTTCTTTCTATCAGTAGCTACAGCCATGCAGATCCACAGTCTTCTGTAGCTTCCCCAGAAAGTGTAGCGAGATATGAGAAACGTAGGGATCCAAGGAGCAGCTGATTTCCTACCACAGACGGTTTCAAAGTCTTTCACCCTGTTAGTTGTGGTTTATGGGTAGAAAAGACACATTCAGTTTTGTAGATCAGTCTTTGGGCAAGGGCTCTGCTCCTGCTGGGAGAGTCATCAGAGACTATGCTGCAAAGTTGCTCTTCCTGGTTATTCCAGACCTTCTCCCCAATTTAATTTCCAGAGCCTGTTGTAGACCCCCTGGGTTCCATTTGAGTTACTTCTGACTGGGATATTTGTGTTGTATCTGTAATATTGGCACTGAAATAAAGACCATGCGGTTTAAAGAGACCTTTCCCATTTTGTTACTTAATTGATCCTTGTAGTTTACTCCTTGCTCCCCTTTCAGGAGAGTAATGTGCCAGTTCAGGTTCAGACTGAAAGTAATTTTACTGTGTTTTGAACGGAAGCCAGTTGTTTGAGTATTTGGATCCAAAGAGGTGAGGTACAGTACCCCTGTGAGCTCATGGAAAGCTGTGTTCAGGATGTTCCTGTGGAACTGCTGGGAGGTGGTGCAGTTCAGGGCGGTCTTTCAGAGGCCATGTGTAGGACATAAAGCACAGTGTGACAAACTGTTCAGATATTCAGTGCTCTTCAGGGAGGAAGAGGGGAGGATACATCTTAGATCTTCATCTGTGAGTGTGCTGGTAAGCTGAAGGTAGGGTGCGTCTGCTGCAGTTCTGTTTTAGGGCTTTCCGGACAGTGATCGTTGAGTGCTCTCATGGCAAACTTAGACACAGCTTTTTGTGTCCGCAGAAGTGCTAATACTGGGCTCCAGTCCTTGCCAAAAGTATTGCAAGAGTGGTACACAGTGTATTTTGGAAAAATTGAAGACCTGTTCTGCCATTGAATTGGGAACAGGAGGCCACTAAAGGTTGTTCAGTCTGCTTTGGTTTTAACTGCATTAAGTAATATAAGGTAGGACTGACTGTCACTGACATAAGTGCCAGTCATGTGTAGTGGAGTAAGTTTGTCTTCTCTCAGAGGCCTTTTTTACTACCTTACTGATTAAACAGGTTTGGGCCTTTGGATTAGCAAAGAGCTTTATTCTACTAGAACTGGCATCAGCATGGGGTTATAAAATCTAGAAGAATAATGTATGATTTCCTTAAAAGTAACTTTGGGTTGTGGTAGGGTCATGCCTTGGCTATCAGTGGTGGGATAGATCCTGTGCTTCTATCTAGAAGCATTATGAAACAGGCAGTCTAGCAGGAAATGGCTGAATTAAGGTACATTTCCGGTGCTGAGCATTTAACTTTGTTGCTTTCACTGCAGTTCTGGCTATTCACCACCCCACTAGCTCAAACTCAGTGTTGAAACCTGACCATGTTAAGTCTGTACTTCAGTGGGCTTTGAGGGCGTCCCAGAGAGAAAGCTAATGGAAAGTCTTTGCCTTGGTTCCTGAGCTCCTTATAAGCTCTCCTGTTCTCTTCACAGAATTGTACATGGTCACTTGTACTGAAAGCCAACACACCTTGCTCTCCCTTTGGTTTTGCTGGGAAGGAGCACTGGTGCGGGAGATTAGATGGGAAGGAAGAAGGAAATGGTCTGTCACCTGGCGAGTTTGTTGCAGCAGAGTTGGGAACAGTGTATCTTGTCCCTCTTGTCATGCTTGTGTTCTGTCCCTAGAGCAGCTGGGTTTTGCTGTTGGTCTCTGGTAGGATGAATTCCTTCTGTGTTCTTGGCTCCTTCAGCCACCCTTGCACCGTGTCTGTGCTTGGGGAAATGGGCACTTTGTCACATGGGGGCTGGAGGAGGCGGCAGTTGTACCCGAGATGTGTTTTGCAGGAAGCCATCCCTTGGCTATGAAGAACTCTTTTGTAGCAGCCAAACATTCCGCTTGTCCTTGGAGCTCTCTCCCCTCCTCACTTAAGGGATGGGCGCTGACATTCTGCCAGAAGGAAGGCCAGGCTTCCCACCTTCCCGTACCTGCAATCCCAGATAATGCTGCTTGCTCCTTGACCCCTGTGTGCTCCTCAAGCTCTGTGCTGCTGCTGGGGTTTCCCTCTGGAGAGTACTCACGTCTGAGGCACTCCCAGACTGAGTCCTCTTCCCACCAGCTGAATGCAACAATTCTTACAGGCCTGGTCAACGTTTTACTTGCTTCACTGTAAGGGGAATATAAAGGCAGCAAGATACAGACTTCGTGGCTAATCTTACTAACCTACATGGAAGACTTTGGAGCTGGGAGATATTGAATGTCTGTTTTTTTCAAGTGAATGTATTTTGAGTCAAAAAATGACAGAAACAATAGTGGCCATATTGGGCCTGAAGGGGGAGGAGACATGGGAAGGTCCTAAAGTCGACTTTATCCAGGTTTTGATGGGACAAAATATGGCCTTGAACAACTTATTGAAGCAATAGCAGTGAGGGGACTGCCACCTTTACAGTACCTTGGATCTATAACTTGGAAGATGCTGAAACAGCTGGGAAAGGTGCCAGTGCCTTCCCTGAGGCTGGTCCCAGCTGTGAGCTGCGGCAGCAATGACGCTGGTGCACTTTTATGTGTTCATTTTCTACTTGGAGGCTGTGAGGGAAGGAGCTGCTGGACTACTTCCCTCTGAACTTTCACTCTATTCCTGTATATTTCTTTTTCTTTCCTGATGTTGTAATTTAAATTTTGCATAGAGCCCCAATTCCACCTCTTTGACAGTATAGAGAAAAAAATAAGCAAACAAAAAACCCCATGAAAATACAAACCCCCAACAAACCCAACCAAATTTGAAGTAAGAACATGCCATTTGAGCAAGGAGCCCGGTGGCACTTGAAATTCTGGAGACCTATTTTTGAGATGTGAAAAATTTAAGTAAATGCTGAGTCGTAGGTGAGTGAGGAGCTTAACGGATGTAAACATTTACATGGGATGCATTAGACTTCTGCTGTGTGTATTGTCTTTTGGTTGAAACAAATTATGAAGTGACTAATAAAATGAGTCAATATTCAATGATTTAAAACTGTGCCTTGTTACTTTCTGCAAGTACAGCTGGATAGGATGTTTTGATTCTTGATGTTTGGCCATGGCAAGTTCAGATGATGCAAAAAAAAAAAAAGGGCAGATTTTGAAAACCTTTATGGGAAATTTTGGAGAGCAAAATGAGAGGACAATTGCAAAACGCTTGGGCAGTTCAGAATAGCACCTGGAGAGAGAGTGTGTCAGTTAGTTACTAGCAGCAATGCTTGTCCAGGTGCTAGAAATGTGTGTGGGATCTGAACACAAAGAATATTTTTCACCGGTATTTGCAGTGTGCTGTGGGTATTGGTCATGATTGCATTGCTACTTAAAAGGCCACTTTGGTACTCCGTGTGCCTCTGGGACAAGGATCACCATCATCTCTGTGTCAGAGCAGCATCTGTGTCTGCGGGGAGGCTCTGCTTTGTGTTTTCTAGTCACAGTCACATTTCATTAGATAACTTTTCAAGTCTCTTCTAGCACGTAATTGCACTGTGGGGAAGGTGGGAGGCTTTTGTTGTTAATGTGCTTGATGCTGTTGGGGCATGAGCAGTAGCTGCCCTAAAGCATTAATCAGATTCTTCCAAACTGCACCGCGACGATGATGTCGTTAGTAGATAATTATATCATTAGTAGCAGCCACTAGTTAAGAGTGGCAGAGCTTACGTGGTGGACCTGCAGGGCACCAGGAGGAAGGCGATGTTCGGCTGTCGAGCTGTGTTCCTCCAGCCGTGGCAGCTGGTGGTGACAGACGCTGGAGGTAAGCGGAGGGCGGGCGGTGACGGGTGTGTTTGCTGCGCTCAGGTGAGCTTTGCCCTGTGCCCGGCCGGCCGGCGAGCGCTTCTCTCAAGGCACCTGGCGCCGGTGGGAGGCACGGACACAGCGCCCGGGACGGGGGAAGGACCGCGGGGCCCGGCCCGGGAGGGGACAGTGGGGACAGCGGGGCCCGGGCGCTGCCGCCGCCGCCGCCCGGGGGCGGGGCCTGGGCCGCGCGCCCCGCGCGCTTCCGGGGCGGGGCCGCCGCCGCCGCCCGGGGTGTGGGTCCGGCCGGGATGGGGGAGGCCGGGCCGGGGCCGGGGCCCGGGCCCAGGGAAGCGCAGGAGCCCGAGGAGGACGAGGCGGCGGTGCCGGGCGGCGCACGAGGGGGCCGGGCCGGGCCCCGCGGCGGCATCCGGGTGCTGAAGGTGAGGAGGGGGCCGGGGCCTCCGGCGGGGTGGGGGCTAGTCGGCCGCGGGGCGCCGGGGGCGCTTCCCGCCGCGACCTTGGCGGGGCGGCCGGGCGGGGCCGGGGTCTTCCCGTGCCCGGCGCGGGGCTCCCGGCGGGGCGGCCTGTGCGGCGGGGCCGCGGCCGGAGGCGGTGCTGACGCTCTCGGGTCTTGGCTGCCTTGCAGAGGAACGCGAAGCGCGCCGGCAGCAGGAGCTGCCTGAGCAGGAGCCGGGTTGGGTCCCGTGAGAGGGCCTGGCTGAAAGGGGACGTCGGACGGGGCTGCGTGTATGTTTATGGAAGAGACTCTGCAGCTGCGGCTCCCTCGGACTTGCGCCTGGTCCTGTGCACGGTGGACACCCCAGCGTCGGAGATCTGTAATGGAGAAGGGAGGAAAAACCTCTTTTTGCAGCTTCATGGAGACCTGGTCAGGTGAGGGCTGAGAAAGGATAAATCTGACTGAGAAAGGTTTAGTAAGGGTTTGCGAGGCTCCGTTCATTGTGTGCCTGCGCCTGTTGGCAGGGCAGGTAGGGAACAGGCAGAGGTGACAGGTGGCAGCCAGGTACAGCCTTGAGTCATGCAATTCATAAAAATGAATTGCAGGTGATGTGCCCTTTACACAACTCTTAGTTAAGTGTTTAACTGGGAGGGTTTGGCTGGTGCGCCCGCCAGAACTATGTCCTCGTTTTCTAGGTAGAGGCTCCTGTTCATATATCCCTTTGTTATGTTCTGTGTTATGGGCGTTTTAGTGTCCAGATAACCTGAGCTATTTAAGAGGCTGTAAACAGTTATTCCGAGTCAGCAAAACATGTAAGGTGCTTTCACAGTTTTGTCGTGTAATACTTATGTATTAGTAACTTTTTTACTAAGAAGAGTTGCCAGGTAAATAATTAAAGGCAGACAGAAAGTGTAGCAAGGGTTATATAAAGAAGGCTTAAGCATCAGATTATATGTTTTATGCCTGAAATTGATTTAGGCTGAAAATAGACAGCTCAGAGTTTGATGTGCATGAACTTTGTGCTGTGGGTGTGTTATGGACTCCTAATTTAGAAACTCCCATTCATTTTGTTAGGTTTTAGACTTTGCACTGATTCTTCTTGACTTAAGATTCAGTTATAAAATTGCCACCCCTGTTCTCAGGGACAGATAATTGTTGTGGTGTCCTTATGTGAAGGCTATTTAGACCTATTTGCCATGTCCAGTCAGGGTTGTTGGAACCAGGGATGAATTATTTAGAAACCCTGTATGAGGACAGATGGACACTTGAACATAGCCATTGAGGCACCTGAAAACCTCTGTTTGTTGGTTGAAGAATTTGTAAGGAAGTTGGCTTGTTTTGCACCCTAAGAATGAGCAGATTTTCCAGCATTTAGAAGGAAGAGCAGACCCATTACTGCAGATCATGAAAAAGCTTAGGTAAAGCTTAAAGATGTGTTCAGAGAGGCACTTTTTGACATTTTTGGCTCTTGAAATGGCTTTTGTGTTTGAATTCTTTTTGGTCTCTGTTTTCACATGCTACCTAGCTGTGCCTGTCTTTGATCTGTGGCAGGCTTTGTGCTGGATTAGCAAATTGGATCTGTTGCCACTGTTTTGAAAGAGAGTACTGAGCTATAAATTACTGCTTCCCACTCTTGTTGCCACTTGATGTCTCTCTAGAACTTGGTCAAGATTTGTCATAAATTTTGTGAAGAGTTCTTCATTAAGGGGTGTGTATTCCTTGTAATCCTCAGAATGTGTTTGCCACAGAAGACATCCTTGAATTACTTCCCACTGGGGCTGTTCTTGGTAGGAAAATGGGAGTTACCAGTATTGCTTCAGTAGCACTTGTGTTAGTAACAGGAAACAGGCCTGAATGGTACCTGCGTGCATGTCCACAGGAAGATGACAGAGTGCTTAAGATCCCCATGCTCTGTTGAGATAATTCCTTCCTTGAACAAAGCTTGCTGATTACTTTAATAATGTATTCACAAATACCAATTACTCTATTAAGCATCTGATCGTATCTTACTGTAAGTGCATGTGTCTCCCAAACACCTTCTGGATTCTTCACCCTTTTAATGTCAGCAGGTGACTTTCTTTCTGAAGCTGAGTGTGGCAAAGGTTGATTTGGCATCTGACTCGGGAGTCTAAAAGCTGGATGGAAGAATAGCAAAACCTTTTTTGTGTATTCACACTAAATATTCAGCAGCGTCCTTGTGATCACCCCTTGTTTCTGCTTCAATTTTGGGAATTCAAGTCAGTTTCTGTCAAAACTTTTTCTTCTCCGCAATGCACCTCGAGGATCTTTAGCTTTCTGCTAGCTAGAATCTTTCCTTATGTTTCCATCCCTTCATATCCAGAAAACATACCTTCCTGCAGAGGGGAGGTTAAACAAGAGTAGCACAGATACATTCTTTAGTCTGGACACCCTTCACAACAAAAACTTAAACTGCAAAGATTTGAAAACTTGGCTGTTGCTAATGGAGAGCTACAGGTGCTACAGGAGTTGTGAAACTGTTGCTACTTCTTGTTGGCTTTTCTGTCTCCTAAGCCTTTGCACCTGGGCTCAGCAGAGAGGCTCTGAGCAGTGAAGTGTCCAGTCCCTGATGTGTGATAGTACTGTGGCTGCCATGGGCTGTTTGTGCTGCTGTGGCAGCCGGGTGTTCCTGTGTGTGCCAGCATTCAGAGTCAACTGCGCTGGGTACAGGATGAATGTGTACAGTTCTAATGTGATCTCGTGCCAGTTTGGGTTTCACACCACGTTGCTTTCTCTCAAAAGGAAAACATATTTTTCTATCTCAGTTTGACTATTACTTCCAGAACCTGTCAGCCTTGATCAGGTTAGTGAAGAAATTCGGTACAGAAACTGCCATTCCATGTGGTTTTCCCTTTGCTGGCCTGCCCAAATATTTTTTAGCAAAACACATGGCTCTTGATGAGAATTTGGACCAATAATCCATTCTGCCAGGTCTCCAGAATGTCTCCAAAAGCATTCAGTGACCTGCTCCCTTTCCTGGTGTGAGCATGGTCTGTAGGCAATGAGCTGTTTTGTTCGTGGCTTTATTTCCAGAGCCCTGTGTGGGACTTGTGTGTGTCGTCAGTGGGACACCTGGGCTGGTCACTGGTCCAGGACATGGCCAGTGCCAGCAGGGAGTCAAACACCCTTCCCACTGTGTCTGAAACACCCAACCCCGAGCAGAGTGGCCAGTCATTGCCTCCTGCCACTTTTTGGGTTGAGATTTTTCTGTAAACTCAAAACTCTCTTGCCAGGTAGTGAGCTTTGACCAACTTGTGGTGGTTTACAGACAGCTTCCAGAATTCAGAAGACTTAACTTTTTGGCAAGGCTTTTGTCCTGCAACCATTGACCAGCAAGCCTGGTTGGTGCAATAGCATGAGCTGCTCTTTTGGTTGGTTTTCAGACAGGAATGAGTGGTATGGCATGAGAGGTACATTTGTAGGGGATTGCTGACAATGTTCCTTTTGTACATGGCTTTCATAAAAAAGAAATAAAACTAAGGGCATTGTGTTTGTCTTCAAAGAGCATATCAGTGTGATTTATGTGGACAAGAAAGAAAATTAAGGGGTTTTCAAATTAGCATTTTGAAACTTTGCAGCGTTAATTCTAGCTGAAGTGTAAGATGAGAAGAATAAAAAATAAAAAAGCAGATCTCATCTCCAGAAGGGGCAAGTGTGATGGGATAGAGTATCCAGCTTTTTCAGGAGGATGAGCCACAGTACCTCAGGTGAGCATTTAGCAACCTGTACAACTGTGACTTAATTTGTGCTGTATGAAAAGCACTTTTCCTTCCACTGCATTACTG